ATTGATTGGGCTATTTATTGATTAATTTTAGGCCAAACAGGCCGCATCAATTGCTTTACCAAAATATGGTATCCAAAGCCCCCACGTTCAAAAAACATTTTTTTACAAATTTCACTAAAGAATTGTGTGCAACCTATTAAGTTGCGTATGTTGGCCAATAAAATGCATTTCCTGCATGACATTGCCTTATCGCCTACTCTACCGGTACTCTGGACTGGGAGGAAAACAAAAGCTTTGGCAAACCATTTATTTTGCGCAAACTTTAACAAAAACGATTGGGCTATTTATTGATTAATTTTAGGCCAAACAGGCCGCATCAATTGCTTTACCAAAATATGGTACCCAAAGCCACCACGTTCAAAAAACATTTTTTTACAAATTTCACTAAAGAATTGTGTGCAACCTATTAAGTTGCGTATGTTGGCCAATAAAATGCATTTCCTGCATGACATTGCCTTATCACCTACTCTACCGGTACTCTGGACTGGGAGGAAAACAAAAGTGCTTTGGCAAACCATTTATTTTGCGCAAACTTTAACAAAAATGATTGGGCTATTTATTGATTAATTTTAGGCCAAACAGGCCGCATCAATTGCTTTACCAAAATATGGTATCCAAAGCCACCACGTTCAAAAAACATTTTTTTACAAATTTCACTAAAGAATTGTGTGCAACCTATTAAGTTGCGTATGTTGGCCAATAAAATGCATTTCCTGCATGACATTGCCTTATCGCCTACTCTACCGGTACTCTGGACTGGGTGGAAAACAAAAGTGCTTTGGCAAACCATTTATTTGCGCAAACTTTAACAAAAATGATTGGGCTATTTATTGATTAATTTTAGGCCAAATAGGCCGCATCAATTGCTTTACCAAAATATGGTACCCAAAGCCCCCACGTTCAAAAAACATTTTTTTACAAATGTCACTAAAGAATTGTGTTGCAACCTATTAAGTTGCGTATGTTGACCAATAAATGCATTGCCAGCATAACACTGTTTTATCCCCTACACCACCTGTTAGGACCATTACACTGGAAGGGGAACAAAATTGCTTTGGTGAACCATTTATTTTGCGTAAACCTTAATAAAGATGATCGGCCCATTTATTAATTAATTTTAAGTGAAACAGGTCGCATCAATTGCTTTTCCAAAATAGGATACCCAAAAACAATTGTTAATTGCAACTTTTAGAGACACTACACGTTGAGCCTTTAAAATCGTTTCGGGTGCATTAAGGATTAAATTATAGACTATTAGTTTCGTAATATACTGTTTTTGACATCAATTCTATATAAAGTGCATCAACAACCGCATCTTTAGTAAAACTTTCTTTTGAATATAATATCGTATGCTAACGTTTTTAAAAATTACGTCTTATTGGTTTGAGATTTTTGAGTTTTTCAGGCAGGTTATGGATAACCACCGAAATTTTACAAATAAAACATTTTTCGGTATGGTGATTACTTATTGAAAAAAATGCAAATTTAAAAAAAATTATAAATAGTTTAACATATCAATTCAAAATTTCTCAAAAACTAAGAGACTCGCCAAAAACTGTGATTGACTTTTGAACATGGGTAGAACTTGTTACCCTCTCCTTTTTTTATGCGAGCACTAATTTCATACAATAGGCACTTTGCTTTATTGGAAATGAAAACACTAGTTTAGGGTAATTTACTATGAATTTAAAAAATCCTTAAATGTTAAACTGCAATGTCTCGTTTTGAAAATCAAAACGGCACAGAAGGAAGTAGAAAACCATTCGAATTATTTATTTACGTAATCATCTTAGTACCGTATAAAAAGAATACAGAATATGCAGGTCAGGAAAAGAAAAACTAAATAATTGCATGTCAGATGATAACGACCTTAAAAACGCAAGTTCAGTTATTTTAATACGTAATATAACTGACCTGATTAATATTTTAGACTTGGCAACGTGGTCGGGACTCGCATGTACGCTGAGAGTGCCAATTATATACAGCGGGCCTCGCATGTTCAATGGATATACCACAGGGCCTCGTATGTACATTGCACATTTGTATATCTGAATTTTCTAAAAACATTACCCCTCAAGGGCGGATGTTGTTAAGTATCATTGGGACACTCCAAAAACCAAAATTTATAATTTTACAAGTGGTCTTTATGGCGGGCCTCGGGTGGCCTGTTCGATATATCGGGCCTCGCTTTTATAGATACTTACGTATATACGTATATTAGTACCTACTGGAGTAAAAAGTATGAGCCGTGGAAAATGTATGGTATTGTCATTGTTTAAATACTTTTTTAAACAATGGTATTGTCTTATGAACTTCAAATTTTGTATTCGTTACTTTCTTTATTTTAACGCCAAAATCCACATACATTTTCAATAGATTGGCAATCATACAAACTTTAATCTTTTCAACTTTGTACTGTTCGTTCAAAAAAACAGTTTTATAAGTTTAATCATTAAAATACAATCAACAAAAGTTATCAGATTAGAGAGGTTTAGACATCTTTTCAAATCATACCCACGTAAATGAAAATAACAGTTGGAAACGAACTGTACTGTAAGTGTAAGTATTTAACGATCAATTTCGTTAGATTCATTGGTAGTAAGTAGGTACTTCACGTAATGTTTCATTCCTCGGACTGAAATTAGTACTTACTGCTTAAATTTGGACAAATGTATGATGACATGGCTTTATGAACTCGATTATTAAGTTATGTCGTATATTATGTTGCACCAAACTTGCTGCCCTTTTCAACAAAGGCGCCTACTTTGCTAGACACTGAGACGCTACCTAGACGCTAGAACCAGCGTGGGGAAAATCGATAGATTAGTTAAATACTGGGCCCTGACTGAGAAAAAAATGTTTCGATTCATACATATATAGAGAGATCGTTTTAAGAGAAGATTTTAGATTGGATTTTGAGGAATTTAAATAGCACCTATTGTCCCTACTGACCGATGGCACTACAAATTTGAGATTATTTCCCTGTAGCATCCTTCGGAAAAAGATATAATTTGCGTAAAAAGCGTTACCTAGTTCTCATTTATTTTGTGTTGTTCCCGAATTAGACGAAATTTTGTAACATATCTAGAATATTAGTAAAAAATGTACATTTTTTAAAGATATCTAATTTATAGGTAGGTACTTATTCGCTTACATGCGTCATTTTCCAGATAGGGTCAATACAATTCATGGAGTAATTACTGGGTTAAAAAAAATATATAACGTCTTATTAAAAACTGCGAAAAGTGAAATTATTGAGGATTAGCCGTTGTGACAATGATTTGCGTTTTCTAATCGATGTTTAATTATACCGGGTGGTGCCTAGCGCAACGCAGCATAGGTATTTCAATGGTAATTTCTTTATAGTCAATTACTAGGCTCTCCCCAAATTATTTTAGAGCAAAAGTATAAATAGGTTTTTTTTAGAGAAAAAAATACTGCATCTGTTCATACTTTTAGTTATAATTTTCCATTTTTCAAAACCGTAGAAATCGACAAAATAAAAAATTACATTTTTATAAATCAGTGATGCTTTGGAATGTTTTAACAAACTACAAGCGCGTCGCATCTAGCTATCGTTGCTTGACGTCGAACGATTTTCATATTTAATTCTGTTTCAACTAACCGACGCAATAAAAGGCATCTTAGGGTAATGTTTTTTTAGAGAATGATTGATGCCGCGAAAGAGACCTTAGGAATAATCAACCCAGTTGAAAAACTGAGCCGATTTCCACAAGTCACTATAAAGATCACTTTTAGTTGCACTTTAATCCAAAACGTAAACAAAGCAATTTCATGGAACCAAAATACGACCCAAACAAACGAAAGTTGCCTTAAATCGTGAAATGTGGAACTTTCCCATATTCCCGTGAGGTCCGAGCGTAAGGAACCCCCCCCCCCCCTCCGCCCCCTTTCCTTGAAACAAATTCAATGTTTCTTTTGTACATAAATCGTTAAGATTTTTGTGACTCCCGGTGCTGCGTTCTTGTTTAAAAACATTCAGCCCTAAGGGCACCCATATGACAATTTTTTATCAAAGACCATCAAACCTTCCTTTCTCTACCCCACAGACTTGCGGTGTTATGGTTCGTGGTCCTTTCTTAAACGTTATGGTGCTAAAACGATTAAATATTTTGGGGGAGAATGCAGAACGGGGGGTGTCTGGTCGAATACCTCCCCAGGAAATGAAAATTCAGTGTTCATTTTCCTACACCTATCGTACGTTAGAGGGGTTGGCTCAGACCCCCTGGTATTACATTCTCTCTAAAAATGTTCAGACCTAAGGACTCCCGTGATAGTGGCCCTCTAATCTTCCCGAAAAAAATGCTAAAACCAGGAAATGAAATATTAAGCGTTCCTGTTCCTATACAATTACCATACGATATGTATTTTGATGAGAAGATTTGTCTCTCGTTTGGGATAAAATTATTAATAAATAAATCTACGATCTCCCCAATATTTTTATGAATGGGAAGATCGTGGATTTATTACTTAATAATAATCATAAGATGTTTGTGCGCTGTGACCCCCAGTGCTACGTTCTTGAGGCTCTCCCTTAAAACGTGCTCCGTTAAAAAGTTGAATTTTCCTTTTGTAATTTGAGTATTTTGGGGGGGAATAAGCAGTCATGGTGCTTCCAGTAACTTAGAGCAAAAAGCTCGGTATCGTTGGCCTCGACTCGACCACAAAAACTTTCCTCAGTTTTTTGTGATACCTGACTAGCCGTTTGTCTACCTCCTAGTGTGCCCCCTGGTAACAATCTCAACGCTTCCAACGGAACTCTAATGAGATTTCCGAATGACAGTATGGCGAACCAAATCCAAGTCAGGGTAGAAGAGCTGACGCCGGGAGGACTGCCTGGCCAAGGGGGAACTTGGTCATTGGACAGCGAACTCTGGTTACCGAGCGCCTCTCAGTTTCAAGTAGCCTTTTGATGGTAAGGGGAATATATAGAATATATAAATTGTTTTTAATCTATGGCAAAACTAAATCTTTTTCGTTCCTAAAAAATTAGATATTCTTTATTTGCCTTTTAGTAAAAAAATCGCAAACAGTCTGACAATCTTCTGTCTCGGATAACAAAATCTTATAATATCAACTACTTAAGTATAACTATTAACAATAATTTAACGCCTTCCTTTTATGTCACATTGTTTTATAGCCATCAAAGAATGTTTAAAGATAGGAACCTATTATATTTTGTATGAAGAACAAAGCTATTATTTAGTGCTGTAAGTTGTGAAGGTTGTAATAAATTCCCCTTAAGCCTAAAAGTTCTGCGTGCGTGCCAATTTCTGCAACTCTTCCGTGATTAATCACGCAAATGACATCTGCATCTTGTATCGTTGTTAAACGGTGAGCGATTGTAATACAAGTACGTCCTTTTTTAGCATTATCTAGGGCTTCTTGGACAACTTTTTCACTTTCAGCGTCTAGTGCTGACGTTGCCTCGTCTAAGAGCAGTACTTTAGGGTTTCTAACCAAAGCTCTCGCAATTGCAACCCTTTGTTTCTGACCACCTGACAATTGTGTGCCTTTCTCTCCTAATTTTGTTTCATAGCCCTGGACACGATTTTGTATAATGACTTCTAGAATTTTAACGAAATTTCACTTACCAAAGGCAATGACGCAATAAACGTATGAATGTTTGCTTTTTTGGCAGCGTCAATAATTTCCTCTCGTGTTACTTCGCGTTCATTGTCTCCATAGGCAATATTCTCTGCAATTGTTCTACTGAAGAGGTTGGGCTCTTGTGATACAACACCCAAATGTGACCTTAACGTGGAAAGCTGCATTGTATTAATATGTTTTCCATCAACGGACACGGAACCGGACGTTGGATCATAAAATCGTACCAATTGTTGTATAATAGTTGATTTACCACATCCACTCGGTCCGACCAAGGCCACCACTTTTCCTTGTGGGATAGTCAAATTTAACCCTCTTAATACCGGAATAGTTGGTCGAGACGGATATGAAAAGTATACCTTTTCGTAGGCAATATTTCCACTATCCTGAAAGTTATGATACAATTACTTTGATGCCAACATATATGATGTAGGTATCTACCCATCCGCCATTATTTTTCTGAGAACCATCACGTATGAGAGGAATTCTACTAAACAATTCAAAAATACGAGAAGCCGCTATTAAGCCTTTTTGAAAATTTGGCGTGAATGCTAAAGCATTTCCCAGTGACCATGAACTAGTAATGATGCTCTCAGAAACACTGAAAAACAATTTCAACCGTTTTACGATTACATTTATCTACATACATAAATACTTTAGCATATTCGAGTCCTTCATTTTTAATAAGCGTGGCTCCAAAATAAAGAGAAGCTGCGTACGCATAAAACATCAAACTTCTTGATAAACCATAAACTAATCCTCTAAAGTGAGTATTACGTTGGGCCATTCGTTGGTAAGGGACTATTTCAGCCATATAACGAATGTGGAAACTCTGTTCACTTCCCAAGGAGGCGAGAGTACGTATACCGTTAATTCCTTCGACGGCAATTTTGGTGGAATTTTGTAAAGATTTGTAATGTCCTTGGCTTTCCTTCGCGATAATCTTTTGCTCTAAGTAAAAGGCCATAACAATTAGGGGCGAAAAACACAACGCTACAAAAGTAATTCTCCACTCATAATAAAAAGACGTACTAAGAGCTATAACTACAGTGGAAAGGGAATTCAGGATCGTTCCAATTCTTTGGCCGGTAGCCTAAAATAAAAGTTGCATTGACAATTCAAAGATGCATATTTGCCTACTCCTTGAACGCTTGCCGCTTCTCCAGATAAACGTGCGCACAACGAACCAACACCATGCTCTTTATTGTCAAAATAGCCCATTTCTTGCGAAAGAAACGACTTAAACATTTGACTGCGGAGGCGCATTGTTAGTTTTTCCCCAGCAATTCCGAACATATACGTCTGAAGAAGAGATAACAACATACAAACTTGGTAAGATAAATACCTACATGGACCAGTGTTGCGATACCAGTAACGATTCCTATGATTAAGAAAAATATAGCAAATTTTTTTGTTTCACTGATAATATAATCGTCATCGTGGGAAGCTAACACTCCCATTACATCTCCAAATACGATTGCGTACACTGGCATACCCGCTCCAGTTACTATTGATCCTACGCACCCAAGCAGAATAACCCACCACTCAGGGGAGTTATATTTCATTATCGCCCACAATGATGACGTACTTGATCCGCTTTTCGATTCTTCAAGTATCTAAGACGTGAAATATTTAAACAAATAAACGTGCGTACCGACCAGATCGCTTACTTCTTTGACATTAGAAATAATGGAGTTGCTTCTCATATTTGCACCATCCAAACTTGTCTGGCGCACTATTCCTATTTTCTCTTCCGTTTCTGTCTTGGTAAATGCATCTTCATCTGTGTCTGATTGTGATATTTGCGCTGTTACTAGTTCGAAGTAAGCGCCCTCTTTATGCATAAGTTCATCGTGGGTACCCTGTTCTACAACTTTTCCGGTGCCTATGACGACAATACGATCGGCCTTTCTAACCGTAGACAATCTGTGCGCCACAATGACGGTTGTACATTCATTGCTGGCCTGTATTAAATTAATCCTAAACAAAGGTAGGTGTTCAACAACATCTTACCGCGTCAAGTGCAGCTTGAACGACCGCTTCACTATTTGTATCTAAAGCAGAAGTGGCTTCATCCAAAAGCAGAATTGACGGTTCGCGCACGAGAGCTCGCGCTATAGCTATTCTTTGTTTTTGACCACCCGATAACTGGGCACCTCTTTCGCCAACAAGCGTGTTGTAACCTTGAGGAAGTAAGCTTATAAAAGAATGAGCATTTGCCTTCGTGGCGGCTCGTTTAATATCATCTTCACTTGCATCATCCGCACCAAGTTTTATGTTTTCGGCTATCGTCATTTCAAACAATACCGGCTCTTGACCCACAACTCCAATATGAGATCGCATCCAAGCGAGATCCAAATCGGCCACGTTATGATCGTCAATAAAAACCTAAAAGCAGTGCGTAAAATCGCAAAATTGAGAAAATGCAAACGCACATTTCCAGACGAGGGGTCGTAATAGCGTTGTATTAATTGTATGCATGTTGACTTTCCACATCCGGAACTACCTACTAGGGCAACAGTTTCGCCAGGATTTATTGTTAATTCGATTCCTTGCAAAATCTACATTAATAAATTAAAATGTTTCTAACATTTACATATATGTATACCTACTTTTAAATCTGGCCTGGAGGGGTAAGTAAAATGTACGCTACGGAATGTAATCTTGCCCTCCATTTTTTTGAACTTCATACCGTTCCCTTTTGAAGCATTTATTGACGGTTCACTGGCTATAACACCAAAAATTTTTGCGGCAGCACCTTTTGCGATCCCAAAAGTTTCTATAAATGGCGAAGCCATTCCAAAAAACCACGTACCTGTTAAAACGCTAAAGAAAATCTAGAAAAACCATCAAAGCACAGCCCATTTCAAAGGTCCTTACCGCCACCATATTCCCGGCATCATACACAACGTCCTCAATCGGTAGAGATCGTTCTCGTATAATAAGTTTTACACCATACCAAAAGCCTAACGAGTAACTGCCATACGCAAAAAACCACATGACAGCATTACTTATACCGTTGAAGAACAACCGTTTGATGTTGTTTTTACACGCAAATGAAAGTAATTCATCATATCTTTCTTCTTCCTTTTTCTGTCCACCAAAAGCAACAACTGTTCGTATTGAGCTAAGAGTTTCTTCGGCAATAGCGCCTGCTTCTCCGTAAGCGTCCATTTCTTGTTTCGCCAGTTTTGAGGAGATCTAGAGATATGACCGATTTTGGACGATTTATTATCGGAAAAATTAATATTTACCCAAGAAATGAAGCCCATCGATATGGTGGTAACAGGAAGTGACACCATACATATTAAAGCTAATTCCCATCCCAAAATTAAGCCCTGTATAATACTCGTCACAAAAATGACCTCATAATACAGAAATATGGAAACCTTCTCCCCGATACCCTCTTCTAACTTCTTCAAGTCGCTAAAAACGAAACTCATTTAAAGAAGGAGATCGATTTACTAGACCTACTCCGCAATGCGGCTTGCAAAATCTCCTGTCTGGTGAACGTCATACCAACCAACGTCTTGGTTTAACACTTTGTGTAAAAACAGATCACGTATTCGATAAGTCTAAAATACATCTTCTTTCACACTGTTCTTATTGTAGATATGATTTACCTACCTGTTTTAAGGCGCTATAGTTAAATAGTACCGTTGCAATATACGTAGCGACCATAATCAAAGCACCCAGCGAGCATCCAAAGATGACAAAGGCAATTAACCCATTCTCTAACTCCTCCTCGGCCTGTTGAATGAGAGTTGCATTTGTTTCGTTTAAAGTTGAAACGTACGTCACTATTACGTTGGTTGCGTCTCCAAATGTAATTGAAAGTAAGCTATTGGCAACAGCACCCAATGTGCAAATGATTGACCCTAAAACTATGAAAAATTTGTCCATGTGCGAGGCATATTTGTACTAAAAATACACTGGTCAAATTAAATTTCACGAGGGAAGGCTGACCGTTACCAGTTCTAGAAAGGAAACAGGTGGGTAGTCCTCTTTAGGTTTAGCTTCTAATATTGGTTCTGTTGTTTCCCTAAAAAAAATGCTATTAAAATCGTCAGTGGCGGTTTTAGCATAGTCGTAGTATACTATGCGATCAAAAAAGAGTTGCTGTCGAGTCTTTTGCGAAATGCGAGTGAACGGGACGTCGGAAGTGGGTACCCACAAAGGGAATGGTAACCCCCGACGAAATCTTATTGATGACCGACAAAAGGAATGCGGGTAATCTTCGACAAGATCTTATTGATGGTGGAGTCAAAACTGGCTAATAGAATACTAATCTGCCACACAAAAATGCGCTGAAGTCCCTTCGATTTCACACGAGGACTTTGCTAATTTTTAAATTCTTGCCAGCACGAGAGTTAGTGAAATGCTTCTAGGATTGCGGAAATTAGACTTACAAATAACTTATAAGGGAACTAAAACGCATGCTCATGCCAAATTAATATACCTACGTCCTACGTTCCGTTTTTCTTTGAATCGGTTTATTTTACAAATTACAGGTATTTGGCAATTAATAGTATATTAAGTATGGAGAACGGTAAGGGATTTTTACCGTTCGAAGACAATTGTTTGGAGGAGGAGCGAAGCGACGACTCCAATTATTGTCTGAGAACGGTAACCCTTAACGTTCGACGTGCTTATATTTTATAACATTTTTTGCGCGATCGAAATTAAATTTATGCAACCAATATAAATATGCACTAAGAAATTAACGAGCAGAATAAATCGAAATGATCGAAGTGGTATGGTGTATATCACTAGGTAACCAGTTTATTTGTCAAAATTGAAGTTAATAATTTCATAAAAATGTGCATGTGTCTGATGTAGTTTACTAGCTTTGAACTTCCTTTATGACTTTATGAGCGTCTTGCTATAGGAAACAACAGCACAAATTGTACGTTTAATGTACCTAACAATAATTAAAGATTAAATGTAATGTAAGACTGTTGATTTTTAAAAAGGCGTCGGTAAGTATTTTTGCTGTTCTGTTTTTAGATCGGTAAGTAATTTTGACGTCGTCGTAATCATAGCAACTGGTAAATTCTACCTACTGTCATGGAAACACCCATGGTAAATAGTCAGAAATGACCGATCGCGCAAAAACGCTATTTTACTTAACGACATCCTTGCCAGCGAGGCGTGACCGTAAAAAACTTGGAAGATAATTCAAGTTTTTTTTGTGCCCTTACTTATACTAAAAATACCTACCTACCCGACAAACGTAATTAATTTAAATAAGTGTTGGCAAATGAAATCCATCATTTTAAAATATTGTCAGGTTAAAATAATTACACCTGAAAATCAAAATCAAGGTCATGGCCATCGCATTTTTAGGTATCCCGATCATACTATTACTCAACATTGCGTAAATTGCATAAGTAAACTATCGATTTAGTTTCGGCAAAAACTCACCTATACGGCAGTTTCGTGTACCCATAATCATTATATTCCATTTTTTTTAAATATTTTATTCAACGTGTGTTTGTTGTTACGTACTACGTAGACATAATATTTATGTCACCGGCATTCGCGAATTAACGAAGAGAACGCGCATTCAGAAAGGAACATGAATGAAAACTAACCGAAACAGCGTTCTAAATTTGAGTCTACCGCAGAAAATCTATCCTTTTTTACTCAATTGTTAAGTATATAAAAATTTGTTCGATATGAAAAGAATTCTGGTTTTTAGTAACAATTTAACTACCATCATACAGCCTTTCCTGCATACCAATAATTTATTCGTAGTAGGACATTCGTATGCTATCAAATTTTGAGAAACGATTGCAATTAATCTTTCTGAATTCATCCAAGTTCTTGTATCACAGCGAATGATTTCCTTACATCATTAACGTGTAGGTAGCACCTTTTATATTGTAGCGAATTTGCCACCAAGTCGTTCAAGGATTAGTCATGGCATCGGCCGATAGGGAATGACAGCGGATGTGACTCTTCTGTTCGTGAAATATGACATGTTGATTCGAGACTTCTCTAGAAGCTTTTTGTTTGCTATATAGGCAGTATATGTATACATTGGATGGTGAATGGAATTTCAGTCTTAACGTGGACACCGAAGTTATAACAAGTGAAATCCGCCGTGATCAATAACTAATTTTGTATAAATAAATCACGTAATTAAATTTACGTCATACATAAGACGTATATAGACAAAAGAACATTGGGAGACGCGACCCTACGGGGTCATTGGATTTGACCCATTTTCAATAGGCTTAGGTACTACATGTCAACTGTGCAGTTTGAACCAAATCGACCAAGCGTTTGACAGTTATTGTGTTCACGGGCGGACAGACGGACACCATCGACTCCCCTATAAAGCTTGCATCGCTATTTGCTCTGCCGCTTAATAAAGTGTTTAAATAACGGCTTTAGCATTTCACAAGTTTATATCCAGATTCCAGAACTATGCACAGTTGCACACCATCAGTGCATCAGTTATGCGAAATTACAAAAGTGGTGTACTCGTGTTCAATGTAACTTTTACAATACCTATACTATTGATTTTCAGATTCCTTGTTCAATGTTTAGAAAAGTGGTATTTTGGACGAAGTGATTTTAATTTATTGCGCAATACTTAAAGACTAGAATATTTCAATTTGTGTTGTGCAACGTTTTAAAAACACTTACTGTAAATAAATTCCAACTTGAAGTGCACTTAAACCTGAAGCTTTTGAACATGTACTTATTCTACTCATATTACGTCGGTTCAATGTTACATTTACTTGGGTACGTATTTTGTGGTGCTAGTAATTAACTGAAATGCCATCCTTATCACATTGTCGATAAGATTTTTCAAGTATATATCCCTACTACCATTGTTTAATTATTTAAATAAACAGTAGGTATGCTACTACGAGCAAATCTAATTGATGAGTCATACTCGACCGATTTTTATGAAATTTTTGTTTATATTTGGCATGCGGTAACGTATATTTCATACTCGCTAGGTAATTATATAGTTTGGCGGGTGTGTGTGAGGTGAGGCGGCGTAGCCGCTGAAATAGATAGTATACTCTATCCAAAAAACGCGATTTCCCAAAGGCGGTACGGAGTCCGCGAGGTCTGCTACTTCTTTTTATATCGATGAGCAAGTAGTAAGGCTTTTCATTTCAGAGAACATGACGTAATCTAAAAACACTCGTGCCATACCGTTTTTAACAACCACGATCTCCGACTAATCAAAACGACGTTGTACTTCTGGTACACTACGAGCATTTTAAATGTGTGAACGGTTCGATACTTGGTAATGTACTTCGCGCTGTAATGATAATTTATTAAAATTTCTTGTTAAATCAAAGGGATGCAGAACGAAACAGGCTTTAATTTGGTACAAGTCCCATTAAAAAACCCAATGGTTATTTTTTTTATTAAGCTTCAAACTCGAGGGCACAGACTTTTTGCGTCGGCAGTATAGTCATTTTGTGAAACTGTGGCAGTCTACGTAGGGAAAGAGAAAGCACCCCACCCGTCAAATTGTCAGCGTTTCACTATGAGTAGGCGCTGTGAAATGACTGATTGCACTAAAAGACTACGACATTCATATTTCAAAAATTTGTAAGTGTAACATACAGCCAAAATCCAAACGTTCTACTTATGCCAATCCTGAATGTAATTGAGCTGCTTCTGGTCCATTAAAAGTTTACTAATATCACAGACAAAATTAATCTGTGCTAATATAAAGCGACTAAATCCTCGACTAAATCATATTAATTAAAAAGGAAGCATATTGTTATGTTATACTATAATGCCTACTCACTCTTCGTTTAATTTCCTAAATTTTCCAAACTCAAATTTGTCAATCGTGTCGTTTATAATGTCCGGCGTAATGATTAATTTTCTTCTCATATTGACGATAAACACAAACACCCGAAAATCTGTAGACTAAAATGAGTTAAAAATGATTTCGGTTTTCGTATTGACGCGTTAACCATTTGTCAACAGTTTTTAGTCGTACATTATTGATGTCACTTAATAATAATTTACAAGGAAATAAACTTTAATAACAGTAATGAACTTCAATTGAAATGAATCGATTTTAAGTAGCTTATATAGATATTTTACATCAAATCAATTTATTGGCCTTGACATTTTTGCAGATCTATTTTTTCTATCTTTGTCTTGTGTTGATTTTATTCCTTGATTATGCAAAAAAAGACCAACAAAGTCTACTGTGATGGTTTACAACAAAAACATTAAGAGGTTCAAGGTTGTTCGTACAATACAAGATATATAATATATACTTCTACATAAAAGAAAGAAGATTACCTAATTTAGCAAAATTTGCCTTTGTATTGCAAGCAAGACAGATCAATTATTATCAGAATTTGCGTAAATAAGACCCATATATGACATGCCCAATACGGACCAGTTTTTTAAAAATGTCTATACGTATAATGTGTCCAAGTCCACGCTTCATAAAAACTATGTGTCTTAAAAAATGTTAAGACTTAAGAGTCCGATTGTACTATCAGAAAGTTGATATTGGATTTCCGCCATTTTTTAATATTGTTTCAATATTATAATATAATATATAATAAACAAACAATACCACGACGAAAGTATTAAATCGACTATGGACGGTTACCTTGTTTCAGGTAAATTTCAAACAAACATTCAGGTAATTACTTTACTACGAGTAGAACTTTCTCTAACTACTAGCACGTTGAATTAAAAAGAGAGAGATACACGGTCATAATTAAGAATTGAGTTTAAACTTTCGAATAAATTCGAAAAATACTTAGGGGAAGGTACCCTAAAATGGCATACTTTTTTTAACTGGGCTTAGTTTTGAAAAAATATGAAAATACATTGGTATATGGAACGTAAACTTTATTATTAGTACTATATTTACTGATTGGATTTATTGCCGAATCTTTGATAAAATAATGAGAAATGTAACTGAAAATCAACTAATTGGTAAAGTATTGGCGGTAAATTTAGAAAAATAAGAACTATTCGGTATCTCCTTACCTTTGCTTCATTATTCTGTACCGCCTGGGCTTATTTCAACTTACTGATCGTAAGTCAATGTGAAGGTTACCTGGTTACCTACACGTAGAATGAATGTTATGGATTATATTTTATTACAGCATATTTTCACTATTTTTATGAGTGCTGTTGCCACTTCGTAACATTTACCGTACCAATAAATTTAAATATATAGACGAGGGTATACTTGTATGGGTAACGTTCGTAATATTGAAGATGGAGTAAGTTAAATAGAAATAGTTTTGCAGTATTGTTTGCCGGATACCTAAAGTTATTTGAAAAGTCCGATTGGAGTTGTTACAAAAAATCGAAACAACCAGTTTTAGAAAAATAAATGGGATAATGTATTAAATTGGGCAAGTTTTTCATATTACCGTATAAGATCTATATGTGACTATTGTAGTTTCCATATACCATATACCTAGAGGTAAGTTTAACTGATACAAGACAAGACAACCAGTCTTTAGACAAACAGGCTAAGGTTAACCGTAAGAAAGTGATATATTTATCCCTAAAGAGAGGCAGGCAGTCAGCTCCATTTCTTACTTTGCCCGTTGCATTCGTCATTTCGCGAAATGCCTAGCCATTTAAGAACAAGCAAAAACTTTTATGAAAGATGCATTTTTCGTTCGTTATTCTACGCACCCAAATTAATAAGAAAAATTTTTTTCCCAAGAATTTTTGGTGTAGTCGATTTTTGGTAAAAAAGGAAGGTAAAACACTTCCTTTTTTTGAGCCCCGAAGAAAAAATTGTCTCAGATCGACCCGGAAAAAAAATTTTCTTATAGAATGTGGCCTGTAGTATCCATAATTTCAAACAGTTCCAATATTGGGCTACTAGTTCAAAAGTTACAGCCCTTTGAATTTTCTTTCGAAATTGGTTTCTAGTCTATAACTTTTGATTGAGAAGTCTGAATAAATGGCAGTTCAAAATGTACGGAGTCTTGCAAGATCTGTAGAGCAATTGTAGTTTAAAGGCCCGGTTTTTGAATAGATAGATTAAATACAATAAGTACTAGTGCGCCATCTCCATGGCAATCGATACACTTTCTATCAATTATAATTTTCGAAGTCTAGTTGAGATGTCGCCACGTACGCACCTTCTTTTAAAGTTTTATTTGAATTTATGCGATTAATAGCAACGTTGCACTCATTATTCCTTAAATGCAGTGCCGTTTTTATGTTTTTCGGGGCCCTGGGCCATTCCTTCGTCGCGGCCCTCCTTACCCTCAATAAAAACGGCAGAATGGGGAGATTCAAGCAAATCCCTAATTTGAATATGGGCACTCGATATTTGTGTAGCCTGGTTTGTAGGCAACACATCATGCTCAATGAACAGAAAACATTTATTTTTGCAATTTATAACTTCTTATGCATAGGAGTTTATTTAAAGCCCTTGGAAGAACAATTTCAATAACAGGTACATTAAACTGAACCGTTTTACAACAACTTTCACACGAAGATCGCACAAACAACACATTTTTTCGTGATTGCAAACTGCGTAACACTTTTGCCTTATTTCGCTGCCAATTTCACTACCGTTTCTATAACCGTAGTTCTATCAAATAAACTCTAGGCTCAATTCTTTAAAGAATAGCTTCGCACCATCGCCAGCTGCTGCAATCATGTAATCGTTCCGATTTTAACCTTGAGAAGTTTGAATTGCATTAGAATGGGTTTTCTGCGAGTTCTCCACGGTGTCTCCCTGTTTTGGTTACAAAGCATTTCCCTTTTCAATTCGTGTTGTCTGAATTCAACGTTTCTCATCCATCGAGAACTACATGTCTTCGATTGCACGACCCAGAACGAACAGTATCATATTCCGCAAAGGTTGAGTCTGACGCTTTCCTGTCACTCCCAGTAGCCAGTTCCCTAATTTAAACCTGTCAGCGAGAAAGGAATGATAACAAAGTTTAATTTTTGACTATAAATAAACATTCATTATGCATTTGAGGTTAAAACTTCATATATCTATGGTTTTTAAAAGTAGCGCTCTGACATCTAACGTTAGTAGATTACAAATTTAGTGTGGCGACATCTTTGAAGTGTAGGTTCCAACTAAAATAATAATAAAGTGTCCTGCATTTAGTGATAAAATGTTAAGTGTCCCCAATAATAAAGACAGATGTCAGCACATTGTATTCTGCTTTGATTCCAAAAACTCAGACAAGGCTATAAACATTTTGGGATTTGTGCCTTTCGCTGTCAAAGGAGTAAACCACGAAACTCGAAAATTAAACATTTCGCTCCTGTATTATAGTCTATTCCTTTGCGTCATAGCGTTTTTGGAATGCCAAAGGACAGGGCGGGTAAACGGACGGCCGTCCGTATACCTCTTTGGTATACCTATACCTAGATTTTTGACGATTCTAATAAAGTATTTGTTCGCAATACACGAGTTAAATCGCCATAATGGGCTACTAGTTCAAAAGTTACAGCCCTTTGAATTTTTTTCTAGTCTATAACTTTTGATTGAGAAGTCTGATCGAAAAAGTACAAACTGATATGGATTTTACGCACCCAAATTAATAAGAAAAAATGTTTTCCCGAGAATTTTTGGTGTAGTCGATTTTTGGTAAAAAAGGAAGGTAAAACACTGCCTTTTTTGAACCCCGAAGCAAAAATGATCTCAGATCGACCCGGAAAAAAAATTTATTTATAGAATGTGGCCTGTAGAATCCATAATTTCAAACAGTTCCAAGATTGGGCTACGAATTCAAAAATTACAGCCCTTTGAATTTTTTTCTAGTCGATAACTTTTGATTGAGAAGTCTGATCGAAAAAGTACAAACTGATATGGATTTTACGCACCCAAATTAATAAGAAAAAATGTTTTCCCGAGAATTTTTGGTGTAGTCAATTTTTGGTAAAAAAGGAAGGTAAAACACTGCCTTTTTTTGAGCCCCGAAAAAAAATTGTCTGAGATCGACCCGGAAAAAAATTTTCTTATAGAATGTGGCCTGTAGAATCCATAATTTCAAACAGTTCCAAGATTGGGCTACTCGTTCAAAAGTTACAGCCCTTTGAATTTTTTTCTAGTCGTTAACTTTTGATTGAGAAGTCTGATTGCGAGTTGCGACCAGAGACATGTATAAACAACATTCCTAACCTCAAATAAATTTGAATGGTTGTGAATGTCTGAAAAGTCAAGACTGTGTTCCAAATAATGTTGTTATTAAGAAATAGTAAAATGTTTTTATTTACTATACGTTACAGCGGGGTTCCGCTTTTAGAAAACTAATAGCGTACATTTATCTGTTTCATATTTCGTCCTACCCACATCTTGCAATGGCACATTTACCCCACAGGTAAGACTATTACGAATGATTAATGATTCTAGTTAAATTCAAAATATTTAGAACATCTATATTACAAGACCGTCTACAAAAATTGAAGAACAGCGAGGCAAATTGTAGAAAAATATGGCAACAGTACCAAATTGTTGCGAAGTACTATGAAAGTAATCCAGTTGGTCCATGTCCCTTCTCCATAACTGAATTACATAAAAACACTTTTCGAACCAAGACAGTAAAAATTAACAACTCTATATTTGAGGTGTTGCGAAAGCGTATGTTTGAGTTTCAGCAAGATATCTCTAAAATCAATGTTTTAAATAAACAATTTGATGTAGAAACGAAAAAGTTTCTAAAGCATCTCGGTAAAAGTGTATGTATTTGATGTTAGTGTACCTACTGTGCGTTTAGAAAAGTAATTTTATAGAATACAGCATTGTGGCAATGCAATGGAGAGAAACTGTCTGTTGTCAAACTGGATAAGCAATTCTGATTTATCGGTCAATTTGGATCAGGACACAACTGCATTTAAAACAACCATAATATTTGACGAGTTTCTGTGTCAATTTTATATTTAGTAATAGATACTTGCTACACGTTTTAAATGAGTTTTCATACAAGACCATTCAACAAACACTCCTTAAACTACAAAACAAATGATAAACATGTACATGAAGCGCTGGATATCTGCGAAATGCAAGAGAGTATCAAGCATTCTTTGCTTTGCACAGCGCCAAAGTGTTATGAAAGGTAAGAACTTTTTCTGTTAAAAATCAGGTTAAAAGTGAACATGAGCACATGTGGATGATACCAAAGACTATAGGATAGGTAGTCTTTGATGATACTTCCATCTCAACTTCCATTGACTTATTGATTAAACATTTACAATAAATAGAAAATAGCGAGTTTTGCTTAATATGCAACGTAGGTTTAGTAAATTAGCGAAAAATCGAATAGACCCCAAAATAACTCGAGCAGGGTGTGTATTTGGCTATTTGCATATTAAAAAATAATATTACGTATTATTGCAGAAGCCCAAGCGTTATACCATTTCATGTACCTCACAAAAAGCTTTTAGAAAAAATAGAAAGCAAGCGGCAAGAAAAGGAACCTTTGGTAAGTATCTACTTAATTTGTAATTCTTTAATAAAATTAATTTATTTCAGACCGGCTATTTAAATCGACAAAATGCGTTGTGTAAACATAAAACATTTTTTGAGGACAGTTCAACAAAAAAAAGTTACAGAGAAAAGCTTTTTTATAAAAATTTTCTTACTATTACTTTCACAGGATCACGTCTTTCGTTAGACAAGCATAAGTCTAAGGTACTGTTTGCCTCTCCCAGAGATCTTATTAGAACACCAAGAGTAGTAGGCAGTACCTTTGTTTTGCCACATCATCGCTTGCCAGAGGTTGTTGATCAAGCCGAATTAATAAAGCAGTTCAAAGAGGAAAAGGGTGGCTTCTTTATTTATATGATTTATGCATGTCCCAGGTCGTCAGAATATTATACACCCTACGCTTTAAAGTATAGGCACTCTTAAGTTTCTGAAAATCTATCAAAATTCCTTGCAGAATTGTTCCGTACAAAGAAATTGATAAATCGAACTTTATGACAATGAGTTCGCATGGAGTAATGCAACATGTAGGCACGGAGGTAGTATTCACCCATTTGCATAAGTGGGAATTGGAATACAATATGTACTGCAGACTAATGAAAATTAAATCGTTTTTTAATTTTCGATTGTGGAAGACATTTTATGTTTGGCGAAAAGGAATCTTGTATAAGAAGTTCCAGAAGGCGGCCACCTTCTTGAACGGTAACTTATTCATGCTTCTTCCATCCCTGCGAGTGGCCCTTATCGACATTCAACACTTGTGTTACGTTACTGCAGGCTTAAATTTTATGGATGTATCTACGATTAAAAATTGGCACCTTTTCTACTTTATTGAGGCGCAGGTTGAATATATATGACAGTAATACTTGCGTTCTCTACAAGTCACTTTTAGATGGAAAAATTGGAAATGGTAGTTCATAAGTTGAAAGAATTCCGAGAAGTTGTAAGGGAAATAGTGGTAAATGCGTGTCATGGTGCGTTATTGGCGCAAGGTTTCGTGGTCAATGAATATTTGCTAGAGGACGGTCAAGGTAAGGGTTTCATCTTTGCTCTGTTATATAGGGTAAACTGGAAAATTGGGAGGTATATGTTTTAAAAATTGATCAAGCAAAACCGATTTTCTGGTTGTTTTTGTTATAAGACTAATTATTTATATTTGTAGAATAGAAAATAATATTGTAACGTTTCAGAATCACAATACAAATAGTCCTTTAACATTATAACAGAATAAAACATGAATGTTTTTTTATAAAGGCAAAAGCGTCAAAACCGCAATTTTTCGATTAATGGTGACAATCAAAATATTCAATAAACTAATTTAAATGTATATTGTAAAAATCAAACATGATATTAACAACCTATCTCTAACTATATCAAAAGACAGAGGAAGATTTTTAGCTACTTCCTCCCATAATCTAATGGATGGTTGTATACATTACCCTCAAAATACCTTTGTAGCCTTATGGATAATAATACCTTTCGGATCTATATTGCACTCCGGATGGGTTTAGAAATTTGTACAGTTGTATTTGTGGTCGAAGTAGAAAATTATTGTTATTATTAGGTACGTTTTTGATAGTACTACAATTACGGAGATATCCTAGGAGACAACCTAGAAAATGTGACATCTTGTACCTACATTATACATTTTCCAGAGCGTTCGAAGGATTTTCAGGGTAATCGAAACTTTGGCAATTTTCTAGACACTTTATAGCTTTCTGGTCCTTTGAAAGCATTCTCTCCGCTTCAGAGCTGCGCAGTCCATTTCTAGAGCGTCTGATATATCTAATAAGGGTGGAATTCATAGATATTATTTAAGTTAGACACGCACTTAACGAAGTGCGCACTTAGTTTAGTTTAAGTGGAGCTTATATTTACTGCTAGTATTCCTGCTTAACTGTCCGTATTTCGCGCGACTGTAGCAATAATGTCATGTCACCTTAGCAATTATATCTTTGAATACCACTAAGTACACGCTAATTATGAGTCAAGTGTAAGTCTAACTTAAGTAATGTCTATGAACTCCACCCTAAAGCTTTTCCAGAGCTTTATGGGCCAATCAGAGCTTTCTAGGCCGTTGTCACCTACCAGTTTAGCCTATAGTCTAAGAGGTAGCGAAGCATTTGACTAACCCATTTCGCACAAAACTAGAAAATTTTTAAATGATGCTTTTTTATCAGTCAATTAAGAATATTCCGTTTTGGTAGGCATCTCGCGGTAGCGTCAAGATGATCCTTCAAATGTATGTATTATATATAATTATGGCGATAATTCCATGGTTGATTGTGATTGTGATTGTGAAATCAATTTTCATTCGTTTATTGTCTCGCACAGTCACCATTGACACAGCCATGGAATTATTCCCATAAGTAAATACATTACAAACTTCAAACATTTAAAAGATGATGACGCAACCGCGAGATGCCTGCCAGAACGGTATTTTCTTAATTGACTGATAACAAAGCATCATTTTAACAGTTTTTTAGCGTTGTGCGAAATGTGTTAGTCGGATACTAGCTCTCTTACTACTAGTCTAGTTCTGGAAAGATCGCACAGATGCATTTGAGACCTTGAAAAACTCTGGAAAAGGATAAGACGCTCAAGATAGGCGTCAGACAGCTTTGGAGGGTTTAAACAGGTTCTAGATAATCTTGTAAAAAACTAGGAACAGCATAGAACTTTGCCAGGTGCCTAAAATGCACTAGAAAATGCTCTGGGTTATTCCAGAATACGCTGATAATGCGCCAACCTTCAGTTACCCTAGATTAACATATTTATGATTATTTTCTTTAGGCAAAAAAAAAGATCGGACTCTTAAATTATCGTATATTGAGCAAGCAAAGAAAGGAAAGTTTTGTCTGCGGCTCACGTGGTATGTTAATAGGGGAAGCGGAACAGTTTAAACCAAATCATTATAGTTTCATAACGCTTGTCGATTATATGATAATAAATATGCTGCATAACGTGACAATGACATCCTTTGTTGAACTAATGGACACCTTCAAGCAACACTTAGATTACTTACCCAGCCTTGGAACATCGGAGCTGGCGGAATACGACACGAGAATTGAAAAACCAAGACCTGAAGGATCAACCGAAGTATACCTATACTGCAATTTTAACCTAATAACTAAGAAGACGATTTCTTTTAGCTACCCTTGTTCATTGTAAACGTGGTCGCGGGGTCCTGTGAAATGGGTACGGAGCCCTGTTATGAAACTGCCGAAGGAATTTTCCAACAAATCATTGCTCTGTGGATACAATCTGTGAAAGACATTAGGCCACTAATTGCTGATAGTGTGTACGAACCATTCACAAAGTAAGCATTTGATGTAGCGTAGGTTGTCACTTATTTAAAATAACTAATATTTCAGTCCTATGATAAATGGGAAAAAAGAAGATAGGATATGCGGTTACGGCCCACCCATTTCTTTTTATCTAGAAGACGATGAGCATCTGCAAAGCGTGCAGCAGGAAACTTTTAACTTGTTGAAGTTTAACTACGAAGCCGCTCATGTTTACATTCAAAGGCTTGAGCCAATTCGAACATTTTTTGCTGCTGACCTCGGTACTACAGCAGAGACCATCGAAAAAGAAAGAGTACTGGAAGTTTTTAGAGGTTGGTGCACTCGTTATCATAAAGAAGTAGAAATTGTCAATACTGTGATCGATCTACAACCGCTTGGAATTTTATATATGAATCAAAAATTATTCAAACAAACCATTTTACCGGAACCCAAAAGACTGATTAATATAATCGAACATACAATGCCTTGGTAATAAAAATTTACCGTATTAGTTCCATTTGGTTAAATATTTCGCTTATCAGCATTGGTAAAGATAAGGTTAATGGCCTTCTCCAAGAAGCAGAAGAATCCCAACTATTTTTGGAGGTTCCTCCTACAACAACTCTCGAAATTGTCGATTATCTGATGTTTGTGGAGAAGGCAGTGTTGAGGATGGACGAGATGGAACTGGAACTGGAGTACTGTAAAGAATTATACGATATTATGGAAGAGTTTCGTATCATGATTGATCCGGACGAATTATCGAACTATTTAGGTCTCAGTATAAACATAGGTAATCTACGAAATTTAGTTGATAAAAAGAACGAAGAACGACCTACAACCATAAAGAAATTGAACGATCAGTTGAATAAAGATATTAGCAACTTAATATCCGAAGTGGGAATTATCAAGGATGAGTGTCTTGTAAATTAATAACGATGTACGTTTTTATTTGTCTCATTGCGCATGTCTTTTAGGAACCGTGGTTATATGACATAGAATCAGATGCCAAGGAAGCCACTAATTTTCTTGACACATTGTATACTCGCCTTAGTGCTTGTCAAGGTCGCGCCGGAGAATTCAAATCCTACCAGAAGCAGTTTAGGGTATGTGACACTTTCAGTCAAATGGAATAAATTCGATAATAAGTAAATTAGATTGATTGTGTTTAAAAAAAACGCAGAACACACGTCGATTGCTATTTTTTAGTTGCGCAAAATTTGTTCATTATTCGAATATTTGTCTGAAGTATTCGTTTAATTAAGAGTTTCCCAAGAATCATATTATTCAAATATTAGTATTCCAATACTATCTATTCAAAAAATTCGCCAGCCCTACTAACAAGGTTACACTTGTAACTGTAGATGGAAGTCACCAGATTTGATATGCTGGATGAAGTAATGAATGATTTGAAGCTACGCATGCTGCTATGGGAAAGTCTAGATTCTTGGCATAAAGAAGTTAAGGAATGGTACACGACAGATTTCCAAACATTAAATACGGAGGAAATGAATTTGTTTACGGCCAAGACCGTTAAAAATATAACGCAGCTCGAAAAGGGACTTCCGAGGAACTTAATTCTGCCAAAGTTAAAGGACGAAGTTGAGCTGGTGAAGAATAAGGTAATACAGATTCACTTATTCTATAAATATATTGAATAACATTCGTATCGCTTAGCTTCCTACCATTACGTATCTGCGCAATCCGTCTTTGCGTCAAAGACACTGGCTCAAAATTGAAAATGTGCTCAATCATAAATTCAAGGCTGAAGAAATGATTACCTTGACGATGTTAGAAGAATTGCGTGTGTTTGATTATCCCGACGAAATTATGGAAATATCCGGTCAGGCTAGTAGCGAGGCCGGACTTGAATTGCTACTCAAAAAAGTATTTCAAACGCTGTTTTGGTCCCACTGTCTGCTATTTACATAGTTTACAGGTCGAAGAAAGTTGGAAAACAATCGAGTTCTCTGTTGTGCCACATCGTGACGCTAAAGACGTGTACATTTTGGGTTCGCTTGAAGAAATTCAGGTGGTATTGGATGATAGTAACATTAACATCGCTACAATTGCTAGCTCTCGTCATGTTGGACCTATTAAACCTCGTGTGGAGGAATGGGCGAGGCTACTAGACCTATTTTCTCGAACATTGGTAGTTTTAGTAGCTGTCTTTATTAAGTGTAAAATTTATTTTCAGGACGAATGGCAACTCTGCCAACAAAGCTGGGTTTATTTAGAGATAATATTTTCGGCGCCCGATATTCAGCGTCAACTTCCCTCAGAAGCGAAAATGTTTTTAATTGTGGATAAGTCGTGGAAAGAGATTATGAGACGTACGGCAAAGGTTCCTTTGGCAATTGACGCAGCTACGTACCCCGGCTTGCTAGAGACATTCATTAAAAACAATGCGCTTTTAGAGCAAATTATGAAATGCCTCGAATCATATTTAGAAACTAAACGTGTATCTTTCCCACGATTCTATTTCTTGTCCAATGACGAATTATTGGACATTTTGGCGCAGGTTTTTATGATGAGTGAAATATTTGTACTGATTGCTTATTGCAGACTAGAAATCCGTTCGCCGTTCAACCGCATTTGCGTAAGTGTTTCGATGCCATCGCAAAGTTAGAGTTTGGCACAAAGGTAGCAAACGAAGAAGAGGATGAGGAAGGCACAGGCAAGCAGGAAGTTATCATGACAACGGATATTATCGCCATGATTAGTCCGGAGGGAGAGAGGGTCGAATTAGGAAAAGGGCTAAAAGCTCGTGGCAACGTCGAGGATTGGCTGGGTAAAGTTGAGGAATCAATGTTCGTCTCGTTAAGAAGGCGAATGAGGTTCTCACTTGAGCACTATTTTACGTTGGCACGCGAGGATTGGGTTGTTTGTCATCCGAATCAAATTATTCTGACAATGTCTCAGGTGATGTGGGCACGAGATGTTCATGCCATCCTGGATGGAAATGGCAATAAGCTATCCGAACTTCCGATGTTTGAAAAGAAGTGCATCATTGTAAGTTACTTTTATTATTTCAACGCGAACAGGCTTTATTTTGCAGAACCTGAACAAACTCGCTGGCCTGGTGCGCAAAGATTTGACGCCAGTCGTACGAAAAATATTGGTCGCTCTTATAACAATTGACGTACATGCGAGAGACACTATCACCAGCATGGCAAAAAATAAAGTGCAATCGAGGTACAAAAAGCGGGCAGCTTAAATATTTCATTTCCATTCCCTTTTCTTTTTGCAGTATCGATTTCGAATGGTTGAAAATGATTCGATATTATTGGCTCGAAAGTATCGATAATTGTGTAGCACGTATGTCAAGCGCCGAGCTACCATATGGCTATGAGTATCTGGGGGCCGGTGGTGTTCTGGTGATCACTCCACTTACCGATAAGTGCTATTTGTGTTTAATGGGAGCATTACAGCTTGATTTAGGTAACTATCAATCAAAATAAATTAATCTATCGTCATTTGATTAGGTGGTGCACCTGCTGGACCAGCCGGCACAGGAAAAACTGAGACGACAAAAGATTTAGCCAAAGCTCTAGCAATTCAGTGCGTCGTGTTTAATTGCTCGGAAGGTTTAGACTATAAAATGATGGGACGATTTTTCTCCGGTCTAGCCCAATCGGGCGCTTGGTGCTGCTTTGACGAATTTAATCGTATCGACATTGAAGTACTATCCGTAATTGCACAGCAGCTGATAACAATACGAAATGCGAAAGCGGCGAAATTACAAAGATTTATGTTTGAAGGAAGAGAAATTAAGCTGGTGCAGAGATGCGCCGCGTTCATTACTATGAATCCCGGATATGCGGGAAGAACGGAGTTACCTGATAATTTGAAAGCACTCTTTAGACCAGTTTCCATGATGGTCCCGGATTATGGTAGGTCATCAGTTTACATTTGTTTCAAAGGTAGAGATATGAATCCGTACCTGGTTCCACCATAAAGAAAGTCTTTTCAATGTAGGAAACAAATTAAGTTTTATACTGTTGTGGTAAAAGTAAGTATAGCTAGTTTTGTTTTACTTGGAGCTGGTTTATTATCTCGCGTGACTCGTTCCCATTTGATTTTTTCAAATGCTTCAGTAACATTTGAGACCACGTACACATTACATTTACTATTTTTCTTTTAATTAATTACTAAAATTGCAATTTGGTCTGTACTTAATGTGATGCAAGGGATTTTATTGCAGCTTTAATTGCCGAGGTAACTTTATACTCGGAAGGTTTTGAGTCATCCAAAATATTATCGCATAAAATGGTTCAAATGTATAAGCTATGTAGCGAGCAATTGTCTCTACAAGATCACTATGATTTTGGAATGCGAGCTGTAAAAAGTGTATTGGTAATGGCCGGTACACTTAAGCGTGCGTCTCCTGATCGTAACGAGGAGATTGTGCTGATATGCGCCTTGCGAGATAGTAATCTACCTAAGTTTTTGACGGACGATGCAGTGTTATTTCAAGTAAGTTTTCCATTTATCAAAACACAATTTAATTTGCTTTTAATATGGATCTATCGTGGTGTAGAAATCACCATAGAAACAATTGTGGCAATAATTGTAACCATAGCAAAATCTATCAAACCGATTTAATCGGTTGAATTATCGTAAACCCCCACTATTTGTCGTGTAATTTATACAGTGTTTGTATTATGTGACGCCAAAATGCGATTGTCTAAGTTTGTAATGTTTAATTGCAATTTAATTCCATCGGAAACAAAGTACGTTTACCATAAATATTGAATTTTAAAGACCTTGTCATAATTACATTGTAGAAAATCTATTATGTACCTACCTACATTTTGACAAGAGTTTATTGAACAAAACACTTTTAAGGGTATATTGAGCGATCTATTCCCCGGTGTAACACTACCGGTTCAAGAGTATGGGGACTTTTTAGTCGCAATTGAAAACAGCTTGGAGGCGCAAAACTTACAAACCGAGGCGTCTATGGCTAAAAAAATAATCCAGTTATACGAAACCATGATCGTACGTTGGGGAGTTATGTTAGTCGGTCCTACTGGTGGAGGAAAGAGTTCGATACTTTATGTGAGTGGGCAGGTCTTCCTTTTAAAGGCCCTAGCATTCGATTGCAGACCTTAAAACTGGCGTTGGAAAAAATGCATCACGACGGATTTGAAGGTCCATACTACAGACCTGTTCATACATATATTATGAACCCTAAAGCCGTAACCGCCGGCGAGCTGTACGGTGAAGTTAATCCATTTACACTAGAATGGCGCGATGGCCTAATGGGAATAATGGTGCGCACATCTGTTCAGGTATAGCTGGTTTTTGAGAATCGTTTTCAGCTGACATTTCCTTACAGAGTACCAACGACGATCATCAATGGGTCATATGCGACGGACCGGTGGATGCAGTTTGGATAGAAAACTTAAATACCGTTTTGGATGATAACAAAATGTTGTGTTTAGCTAATTCTGAAAGGATAAAGCTAACACCTTATGTGCATATGGTATTTGAAGTTCAAGATTTAACCCAAGCGTCTCCTGCTACAGTAAGTCGGTAAGTATAGTCATTCACAATGTTTTCTCTTGTCGTAATGTGCAAATTGTGTTTCGGAATTAATATTTTTAGCTGCGGTATGGTGTATGTAGATCCAGATGAGTTAAAATGGCTTCCCTATGTTAAGTCGTGGGCTGTCACATTAAGTGAACGATTCTTGAACCAAGAAATGAAAGAGTACGTGGTTAGCTTATTTGAATATGCCGTGGAGCACGGTTTAGTGTTCATGAAACGCTACTGCCAGCACTCAATCCACCAGGTATCTTGGAATTGGGAAAATCCCATTGTTAATTTAGATATACCATGTGGTTAGGTTGAAGTGAGTAAAGCTACCGCAATCTGTAAGCTGATTGAAAGCGTCATTTCAATACCGGGCATGATTGAACGGGTTGGGGAGAAAAGCCGAGTTCGTAACTTTGTCTGCCAAATCTTTATTTTCGCTTATCTTTGGGGCGCCGGAGGAAATTTATTAGATGCGTCGCGCGAAAAATTTGAGACATATGTTCATGACCAATTCGACGAATTTCCCGATGCAAAGTACTAAAAGTCATTTTTTAAATTAAATATATATATTTTTTCATTTTTATAGGTTGCCTCCTGGAGCTAACTTATGGGATTTGTTTCCTAGCACGGCCGCGCGCCGTCTTGAACCGTGGGTGAAGATAATACCGACTTTTACTTACGATAGTACAACTCCTTTCTTTGAAATGTTGGTACCGACAATAGATACCATTCGATTTGGGTACATTATGAAGAAATTAGTTGAGACTAAATATCCTGTTCTATTCACAGGTGATACTGGTAAGATGTGGAAAAATACTGATGGTGTAATTGGGTGTCCTTCTTGGGATCATGGGACACTTTTGTTAAGTTTAAATATTATAATGGGTAGAATGATGGTAACATTTACAAGTACCTATTTGCAAAAGAAAATTTATAAGTTTATTAATTTAGCTTGCTAAATTTTTAGTAAAAAACTAAGTCGCTCATTTTACAATAATTGTTCTTAATAGTATATTACGTCATAAGGTTGTTATAGTGAGTAGAAAAATTGCGCACGATGCCGTAATACGCAAATTACAACCGAATTACATACCATAGGTACTTTTTCTATGACCGCCGTGAATTTCGTGAAAATGAAAAAGAAGGCAAATCCGATAATGTGGATCAGCCTTAATTAAAAAACTTGCCGTAAGCATTTATCTGCTTGTTTTATAGGAGTGGGGAAGTCAGTAATAGCAAAAGAGGTTTTAAACAGCTTATTTGAGATGGGATCATGGATACCTATAACTTTGAATTTTTCTGCTCAGACTAGCAGCTTGCGCACCCAAGAAATGCTAGAGGCGAAACTGGATAAACGTAAAAAGACATTACTTGGCGCGCCAATTGGAAAACGCGTCGTATTGTTCGTTGACGACGTCAATATGCCCAAATTGGAAAAATATGGTGCTCAACCTCCAATTGAGTTATTGAGGTTTGTACATTTTTAATAGACGTTGTTGGAGCGTTGCGTTTTTAGGCAATTTCTAGATTTTGGAGGATTGTACGATAGAGAGAAGCTCTTTTGGAAAGCGATCGTTGACGTAGTAATTACAGCCGCTTGTGCACCGCCGGGCGGCGGTCGAAATCCGCTAACGCCACGTTTCGTTCGTCATTTCGGCATGTTTTTTATCCCACCTCCGAACGAGTACTCGTTGAAAGCAATTTTTAAAGTAAACAAAAGGCTTTAAATTGTGCGATGAGGATATTTTTCTTTCGTTTTAGGCAATAATGCGAGGCTTTCTTTTTGATTTTGCAAATCCTGTACGTGATTTAGCCGATTCATTAGTAAATGCTGCGGTTGACGTTTATAATCGAATTGCCGAAGACTTATTACCGACGCCCGCAAAGTCGCACTACGTTTTTAATTTAAGAGATTTGTCAAAATGCGTGCAAGGAGTTTTGCAGGCCGATTCGGGTAGCTTAAGGGAAGCCAACCAAATTATGAGGTTGACAGTATGCAAGTTTCGTGTGGTGCGTAATCTTTATCGTTACAGATTATTTTACCATGAGTGTTTGAGGGTGTTTCATGATCGTTTAATTAACGATGAGGATAAGTCGTATTTTTATTTTTTAATGAAGGAGGTGTGTGGTCGTTCTTTTGGAACTCCTGTGCTTCAATTACCCGACGAGCCAATCATTCACCACCCGCCCATTCTGCTTTTTGGAGATTTTATTGTTTTTGGAGCTGCTCGTGAAGATCGGATATATGAAGAGTTACAAGATGTTAATAAACTAAAAAACATGTTGCAGGTGTGTATGGGGGGGGGGGGCTCAATATACTTACAAGTGCATAGGTACAAATGCACATTTTCAAGGATTGCGTAAATCCGCAGCATACATGTTTCATCTCAATATTGTATTAAAATTAAAAAATGTTTACTTTGCAAGTTACTCAATCCATACTTTGCAATTTGTTTAAAAAATGATTTTAGTGTTTAGATAAAGTTCCATGCAAGTCAGTGTGTTAATGAAATGTTATTTGTAGGAATATTTGGAAGATTACAATCTTACTACCTCAAAAGAAATGCACCTTATATTCTTTGTTGACGCCATGGAGCACACTTGTCGATTGTCTCGTATATTGCGGTCGGAACGAGGCAATGGTTTATTGGTAGGTGTCGGTGGAATGGGCAAACAAAGTTTGACACGATTGGCATCACATATCAACGGCTATAAGTATCACGCACCCATTACGATGGCACAGTGAAAACTAAATTTGTAGATGTTTTCAAATTGAACTGACAAGAAACTATGACCATAACAGCTTTTTCGAAGATCTGAGGAAATTATATTTCAATGCCGGCGCTGTCAATGAAAATACGGTGTTTCTATTTACAGATACACAAATTGTTCAGGAAGAATTCCTAGAAGACGTTAATAACATATTAAATTCGGGTAATAGGCCGCTAGTGAAATTTCTGTTTAGGAAAAAGTGCTTTTAAAGGTGAAGTTCCGAATTTATTCGAAGCGGATGAGTTAGAGAAGGTAATAATTGCAACAAGACCGGCGGCGAAGGAGGCGGGAGTTAGTGAAGGAAACCGAGATCTCATATTTACATATTTCATTAATCGTGTTAGAAGAAATCTTCACCTTTCTCTTTGTATGAGTCCTGTAGGAGACGCATTTAGGTAAGTGTAGCGTAAGAGTGTTTTTTAGATGTCATGGTATGGTAGGTACCTATTAAGAATGTTGTGAAAAGAGTCGCAGTTCAATATAAAAAATTTGGCGAAATTAGTGAAATAAAGAGCTATATACTATAGTTGTTAGCCGCTTGCACCTTTTCCTACCTGTTTTATGTTGTATTGTGGACTTAAATGATTATTTTAAATGTACAACAATTCTCTAAATTCCTAATGGGAAGTGATATTGTAGAAGGCGTTGTCGTATGTTTCCATCCTTAGTCAATTGTTGTACTATTGACTGGTTCTCTAAATGGCCTGAAGAGGCATTACTATCAGTTGCACAGAATAGTTTAAAAGAGATAGGCAAATCAGATGTGGTAGATAAATTAGCAAACATGTGCGTAGTTATGCACAAAAGTGTCGAAGACATGACTGTACGATTTTATGCGGAAATGAAGCGTCATTATTATACAACTCCTAGCAGTTATTTGGAATTGTTAAAGTTATATCTGAATATGCTAGTAGACAAGCGACAGTTGATACAAAAAACTAGCGATAGAATTGCCAATGGCCTACAGGTAAATTGCAAAGTCTCTAATTCAATCTTAATATAAACTCGAGCTTAGAAACTTTACGAAACCAATTCCATTATTGACGCAATGAAAGAAGAGCTAACCGCGATGGAACCTATTTTGGCGGAGAAATCGGTCGCGATCGCGAAACTTATGGTAAATTTGACTGCAAAACAGGAGCAGGCGGATAAAGTACGAACGATTGTCAAAGCAGACGAAGATTCCGCGAAGGTAGATTGCTTAAAGTTAGTGCCTTTTGTTATTCTTCTATTATATTTTTAGGTTAAAGCGGCAGAAACGCAAGCCATTGCCGACGATGCTCAACGTGATTTAGATGTCGCGCTCCCTGCAATCGAAGCGGCAACCAGAGCTTTAGAATCTCTTAACAAAAATGATATAAATGAACTGAAGGTTTTTCAAAAGCCTCCAGATTTAGTGCGATTTGTAATGGAATCGGTGTGCCTATTGCTGGGCTCAAAGTAATTCGCTCCTTATTAAACAGATTTTATAGCTTTTTGCGTGCAGAACCGACTGGGCATCAGCAAAAGTTGTGATGGGCGATGTCAATTTTTTAAAAAGGCTACAGGAGTACAACAAAGATAACATACCCGACTCTCTGTTAAAAAAACTAAAAGTTTACATCGACAATGTCGATTTTATACCCGAAAAGGTGGCAAAAGTATCTGCAGCTTGTAAAAGCTTGTGCATGTGGGTTCGTGCGATCGATACTTACGCCAAAGTTTACAAAGTTGTCGAACCTAAACGCCGACGGTAATTCAATTTCCTTTACTTCCAAAATCTGAACATTTCGTTTCGTAAGGTTGCACGACGCCGAAGTTGAATTAAATGATGTTATGGGAGTTTTGAAGGCGAAACAACAACAGTTGGCAGATGTTGAGGCAATGATCCAATCTTTACAAGATGATTTTGAGGCCTCTGTGGCGGAGAAAAGATATTTGGAAGACACTATGGCGCTTACTGCAGTTCGCTTGGTACGAGCTGGTAAACTGAACGTTGCTTTGGGCGATGAACAAATAAGATGGGAAATTGGTGTAAAGGTATTCATTTTACAGCATGTATTTGAATATTGAAGTTTTAATGGCCTTAATAAGGAAATAGACCATGTCGTGAGCGATAAATCACTCGATCGTTAAAATTAAAATATTCCTCTAGTAATAAGTATTAATGTCAATCGCTTGGCAACCTTATTATATTATCGTCCTGTTATTTTTTCCACCTTAGTTCGTTTTTCATTTCAATGTGTTGCCTAACGCATTATCTGCAGTATGTTTAAAAATTAAGTCGGCACTATTTCTAACTTTCTTAGTTGTCGAGTTAGAAAGACGGTTAAATTACCAGAATTGTGTATTTTTGTCTACTGAATCCAAATCTGTAATTAAAAAAACAAAACAACATCGCATTTTTCAGTTAATAACAAAAATGTAACTTTTTTATATGGAACACTACTACCCCGTATATTATTACTTACATCATTATGACAGCTTCTTAAATTCTCTACAAAAGTTACTCACTTAGAATTTTCTACTTCTTACAAATGAGAACCTTGATTACAGAATTTTGCCATACAGTTAAGCAACTTAATAGGAGACATCCTAATCTCAGCGGGCTGTGTGGCCTACATGGGGGCGTTCACAAGCACCTATCGCAAAAATTTAATTACAGAATGGACCGAAAAGTGCAAACTAATAGAAATTCCATATTCCGATAATTACAGGTTAGATAGTGATACCAATTTGTTACATTTTTAATGCGGAACTTTAGTTTAGTAACAGTGCTGGCGGATCCTTACAGTATACGAATTTGGAATGCTTGCGGCCTCCCACGAGACACTATCTCAACCGAGAACGCGATACTTGTCACACAAGCGCGGAGATGGCCGCTGATGATCGATCCGCAAGAACAGGCCAACCGCTGGATACGACAGATGGAGGGTCAGCAGCTACGGATAACGAAGCTAACTGACAGCAACTTCTTACGTATATTGGAGACAGCTATTCGTATAGGACTTTCCGTATTGCTGGAAGAAGTGGAAGAAACCTTGGATCCCACATTGGCACCTATTTTGCTTAAGCAAACTTTTCTTCAGGTTGATACCTTCCGTCGATTCGATCGGTTGTTTTAATCAGGATCATGATTTTAAGGGTGGAAGGATGTTAATCAGACTGGGAGACTCTGATATTGAGTACGACTCGAATTTTCGATTTTACATAACCACAAAATTATCAAACCCTCATTATTTGCCAGAAATTTGTATTCAAGTTACTATCGTCAACTTTACCGTAACACCGTCCGGATTAGAAGATCAATTATTAGCGTAAATTTGCCATCCTCCGATGTGGTCCGTCAGTCAGTTCCCGTTGGGTACTTATAGTTTTGATAGCCATGCAATGAATTGAATGTGCACAGATAAGAGAAAGTTCAGTTGGAAAATTTAAAACTATGTATCCAAGTCTGATTGGTCGGATTAAGAAATTACGATTAAATGTAATAGAAAAACATTACAGAGATGTTGTCCGGCTTGAGCGGCCCGACTTTGAAAAACAACGTACCGAACTTATAACGCGAATAAATAATGATAAAGGTCAATTGAAGGCGATCGAGGATAAGATTTTAAGATTGTTGTTTGCGTCAGAGGGTAACATTTTGGATGACGAAGAGTTAATTGAGACTCTAAATGAAAGCAAGGCGAGATTATTTATAGTCTTTTTGCCATTAAATTTAAGTTTGTACTTTAGGAAACATCCGCAATTATAGCGGCTCGACTTACGGAGACGGAAGCGACGGAAGAAAAGATATCGATTGCTCGAGAAAAGTATCGTCCAGTCTCAACGAGAGGTTCTGTATTGTATTTTGTGGTGGCTGTACTTGCAGAAATTGATCCGATGTACCAATTTTCCCTGAAGTATTTCAACCAGGTAAGCGGTTCCGCCGTTTGTATTCTCTTTAATAAGTTGGTCATATCCATTAGATATTCTGCAATGTTATTCAAATCAGCGAGAAAGACGACCATTTGCCGAATCGTTTGCAAATATTAAATCGAGAAATTACTTTGGCAATGTACATAAACGTTTCACGCAGTTTGTTCGAGAGACACAAGCTAGTCTTTAGTTTTATGGTGTGTGTCGCCATTCTTCTTCAGCAAGGAACAATATCGGAATCTCAGTACAATTACTTATTAAGAGGACCTGTCGGTTTTAAGTCGCCTATGGATAAAAAACCGAATTGCACATTATTGACTGACCCTATATGGCTGGCGGTTAAATATCTAGCCTTTGCTTTTGAACCTTTTAAGTACCTACCCGACGATATTCTCTCACGAATAACTGTCACAATTGGAGGCTACGATCAGGTAAAGATTTTGTGGAAATGTTAAAATTGTACTAGTAATGGCTGCAGACTATCGAGTTTATACCAAACTCGCTAAATAGTAAAATTGGTTGGAACAGCCACTTGGACGACTTTGAAAAGTTAATGCTACTTAAAACATTGCGCGAAGAAAAGTTGGTGTTTGGTATCACCGAATATGTTAGAATACACTTAGGACAAAAATTTGTAGAGAGTCCCGCAATTTCGTTGTCCGTCTTGTAAGTACTTGATGCGTATCCCGTGGGAAGTCTTTAAATTTTCAGTTGTAGATATAAAGATATCTCCAATTCTGTACCATTGATATTTGTATTAAGTGCAGGATCAGATCCTTTCGGAGCCTTTCATAGATTTGCAACGGACATGGGATACCAAGAGAGAATTTTGTCAATTTCATTAGGGCAAGGTCAAGGACCGGTTGCGGAAAAATTAATCGAGACCGGTAAAAATAACGGAAGTTGGGTCTTTTTGCAGAACTGCCATCTGGCGACGTCGTGGATGTTGCCAATGGAAAGAATAATACTTGCAATCGTCGAAGATTCATCTAAAGTGCACACAGACTTTCGTTTATTTATGAGCTCTATGCCGTCGCGAACGTTCCCAGTTTCTGTGTTACAAAATGCGGTTAAGGTCACAAATGAACCGCCTAAAGGACTACGAACCAACGTGAAGAGAGCTTTGGAAGAAATGCTCGATACGTTCTTTGAAGATCATCGTACGTAAATTCCTAGGGTTGTCAGGTCTCTGATATTTCAAGAAACATGCACGGAAAAGATCATCTTTTGCTGATGGGCAGTATTTTAAAATTAAGCGATCGTTTAACAGCACTACTATTGTTAGACGCGAGACGGATATTTTTTGCATCTATCATTATTATTACCTTGGACTGTCCTCTACTTGAACGGTTCGAAAATGAGGAAGAAGACGTAATTTATTTATTGGTAAAAATAGCCATACCAAGTTCTTAGAGTTATCGAAAACGGGTATCTTTGATTCCCCTTAAAAAAAATCAGAAAATCATAGCTTGTTGCTGCATGTATAACTTCTCCTATATTTTTATTATCGACCACCTATATTAGTGGTTTTCAAAGTCCTGGCAACCCGTACGAAAATAGTTTCACATCTACACCTAATTTTTGCAGCATTAGGACAGGATTGGAGAAAGGTCCTTTTTGGATTGTGTATGTTTCACGCAGTTATACAAGAACGTAAAAAGTTTGGACCGTTAGGTTGGAATATTATTTACGAATTCAACAATAGCGATCGCGAGTTTGCGTTTAGTACTCTACGGATGTATTGCGATATAGGATTTATTCCGTGGGACGCCTTGGAGTACATAACAGGTAAACCATCACGCTATCATTCAATTTATACGAACAGCATTTTAAGGTGAAATTACCTACGGTGGTCGTGTGACAGACTCTTGGGATTTAAGATGTTTAAAAACCATCTTGAAAGGATTTTTCTCTCCCTCTACTTTGGAACCAGGATATACGTATTCAAAATCCGGTGTTTATTATTGTCCAGAATATGAAAAATTGGAGGAGTATAGAGACTTTGTCGACACATTCCCTATCATAGAAGAGCCTGAGATATTCGGAATGCACGAAAATGCAAATATCGCTTACCAGGTACCGATTCGATTTTCCAGAAATACCTATTGATTCAACCAATTCTTGAAGACAAAAGAAACTCAAACGGTTATAAGAACTATGATTGATTGCCAGCCCAGCACAAGTGGAGGTGGTGAAGGTAAATCTGCGGACGAGATTGCTTTTGAATTAGCAGAAGGGGTAATACAATCTATTATTAAAAAAATATACACCGACAATGCCCATCCACATCTATTCAAGGTAAGAAAGTGAGATAATACTTATACAAGGTAGGTTCCATAATGACTTGGTCTGACATATTTTTTAAAACGCTCGAGTCCCTTGCCATACTTCACTACTCCTTACTAACATAAATAAGCTATTTTATTTTCTTATAGTGACAAGTTTGAACATTACAACAAAATAAACGACAGTTTTTTGCATAATGTTAAAATGTTAATGTCAAACGTTGTTATAGGTTTTGATCATTCGTCCGCTGAAATTAAAAAAAAAGTTTGGCTGAACATTAAGGTGATGCTTTATCTTCATATAAAGCATATGCCAAAGCATTGAAGAATTTGGTTTGGCCAAGAATGAGTAACTATACCCACTATAAAATTTAGATGGCACGAAAGGGATATTTCCGTGCGGAAGTTATCATTGTTATGAAAGGTGTTTTCTAATACTAGTAGACTAAATTCTAAAATATTATATTCCATCTTGAGCATTGTCAGGCCAGTTCATTGTGGGACACATCCCACTCCCCTCCATATGTAGGTGTTATAGTACAGGATAGATTTTCAACAGAGAGATAAAAAGGATCGCTTACCTTCTTTAACCACCGTCTTAATGCAAGAAGTAGATAGATTTAATAAACTTCTTGCACTTATTCACTCATCTATGAATAACCTTCAGAAAGCAATAAAGGGCTTTGTTGTTATGTCTGAACAACTGGAAGAAGTGTATAGAGCTTTTCTAAATAATCAAGTAAGTTTTTGTTTTAAACTTGTCGCTACAAAAAGCTACAGCATTCTGTCGAGGTACCCATAATGTGGTCATCGAAATCATATCCATCATTAAAAAGTCTAGGCAGCTGGGTGCACGATCTGGAACTGAGGCTAGATTTCATTTGTGTAAGTCCATTTCATTATTCATTAACACTAGAAGTGTGGGTGTTCCAATTTTGACTCATTTCAAAATTCATTACATTACATGTAATAAAACATCAGTTTCTAAAGTGCATTTTATGACTTCATCCAAGTATTTGGTATCATTCATGGTGTATGTACTCTATTTATTATTTTGACTATGCCTAGTAAGATTAAAAATAAATTTGTATTAGCCCTTTTACCAACTTTTTCCATTCACATTTTGATTTGAACAGATCCATATGCGGGTAAAAAGTCAAACATGTACCTATATGATTGTGTTCAAAGTTCTAGTGTTGAGATAGGTACTATTGTAACAGATATGGATTGAACATTACCATCCGCCGTCTTACTGGCTATCCGGATTTTATTTCACACAAGGATTCTTAACTGGTACTTTACAAACACACGCCCGCAAATATGACTTGCCAATAGACCAACTTAAATATGACTTTGTAATGCAAAAACTGTTCATAGATCAAGAGCTCATAAAAATTACGCACGACGCTGAAAAGAGAGAGGTAGGGATTTTGTAATTTACGTAGACATAAGGTAGTAACTTCATTATATTTTAAAGGTTGCATCAGCTTACGGAGACTTAACGGTACCTCTTGATGGTGTGCTTATCCACGGCTTATTTGTCGATGCGGGTCTCTTCGATAATCTCAGCATGACATTGGTTGATCCAAATCCAGGTATTTGCATGTTGCGGGAGAGGGGCTACGCCATTTCACATGTCAAAATGTGCAAATGTAAAAAATTTAAATTCAGTATTTCTAGCATCTCGGTTCATTTAGACGTAGGTATCTTAGGCAAGGCGCGCACCGAAGTGATAACCACATGAGGTGGCAGTGGCGTGTTGACCTATTTTTGAACATCCCTATGCCTCGCACCACTCCTGTATGTCACCACTGCCACACTACCTCAGTACGCGCCTTGCCTTAGATATACTTTCTTTACTTACTTTAAATGGGTCTGAATACTGAAAGTACTTTATTATAGTTACGTTATCTATACTGCATTCATTATAAGAAGGTAGTAGATCGCGCTGTGTTTGAAGATAAAGCACACACAGGAAAAATATTAAATGGCAACAAATTATTGCAAAGTAGAAATATCCAGCACTGTGAACAGAAATAAATCTTTGACATTAACAGCCAATGACACTTCGGCAGTTTAGTTGGCAACAGAAACTACCAGCTTACACAATTCGCCGCTCGTTTTATGTTTCAGCATAATACTGACTCGTGTTTTAACCAATCACAGTGAAGGTCAAAGCTTCCCTATGCTTTCTACCGCTACCTTCTTAAAATGAATACAGTATAGTATATGTATAATTGGAATACACAATAATTATTTTGATACCTACTGCTTCTTTAAGATGAATACCTTCCTTTTAGCGTATCTATTTTATTATAATTTGGATACTTCTTTCGTGTATTATATCTATGCACTAACCAGTAGACATGAAAAAATTGCACTTGTACTCTAGTTATTCCATCTGTCCTACTTACATTATGGTGTGATTTTTCGTTTTCTTTATCAAGTTTTAGTGCTTAAAAAAACCTCTCTTGCTTTCCTCATTCATCTTAGAAGACCCGATTACTTAAATTTTGTAATTTTGGTTTTGCAGCCAATTATTAACATCAAATTTAAACGGGACTATTTCTTAGTTCATCGGCCCTGAAATATATGTATAAGAACAGGTCTCGTGGAATGACCATCTTAAGTAAATAAATGTTTTTTTTTTACAACTGAAATTTCAGGTGAAATTAATCCACCACTACCAGCAGTGTTATTTTTGCCAACAACAAAAACACCAAGCATCGAGAATCGTTACATCTGCCCATTGTATAAAACTTCAGTGCGTGCCGGAACATTGTCGACAACCGGTCATAGTACGAATTTCGTCACAGCTATTCTACTTCCATCCCAAAAACCGCAAAGCCATTGGATATTAAAAGGGACCGCCTTATTAACTCAAGTTACTGATTAAAGTTTATTTGTAAATCATCGTTGTTTATGCAAATACCTACACTCGCTCAAAATACATGCTTTATTATATGTTTATCGAATCCGCAACTGTACAAAACATTTTCCAACCACGCAATTCCACGAACATACGACGAATGCTTATTTGCTTTATGTAGCAAATTAAAATTCTCTTCACAGTTGAATATCATCACTTCGGTTCTATCGCCGCACATGGCTAAATTGCCTAATTCGTTAAATTTCAAACGGTGAATCGGGGAATCAAAACAGTGATGATAAGTTAAAAACTCTTTAGGTTGTCTAACGTCGATGTTGTAAAGTTCACCAGCTTTACTGCCGATAACAATCTGTTGAGAACATCTGGGATTCCAAACGACACTCGTCAGTCCACAAAAATGATTTTGATACAAAACTGTAAATATAGAACAAATCTAAAAATTTTAGTGTCACATTTACAATTTACCTGCGGCAGGTTGCTTCATACGATCGTCCCATACACAAGCCTGTTTATCCATGCTCGCTGTTGCGAACAAATTATTGTCAGTTTTGTTAACCGAAACGGACTTGATAACATCCGTATGTATATTTCTTGAAATACACTCATTATACAAGCTCATGTGGAACAAAGTACTTACTTAAATTCGGCAAGGAGTTCGAGGCCATTACTAGCATTCCAAATGGTAACCTGAGTATCGGCGCAACCCACAATCTTTTTATTTGTATGCCAAGCAGCTAACTGTTGAACTAGCGCATTTGTAAATAGGAAATCTTCGCATTTCAACAAAGAAGGCGAGTTAGTGGTGTCTACTAATTTTAAACTTAAAGTATCTTCGGCCAACAAAATCTACAACAACGATATCAAATTGGATAAACATATTACAAGTACCTTGGTAGTGTTTGGTATCAATATCGCGTCAGATATAGATGCTGTACCCCTAAAGTAAGAAGAGTACTCATTACTAAGTGCCGCTGTATCATTATTATAAAAGAAAAGAGAACTTTCCCAGTATCCACCCGATACATTCGAACATCCTAATATGAACTCTCCTGAAAAACCAAAGTGAGTATCACCGTTCGTACACATAAACTCACCTTTATCGTTGACATCAACAATAGACAAATAATCATATAAAACGGGTTCTTCCGATTGCAATAGAACCCGCTCTAAAGGTTTATTGGGCGGGTAAATGAGGTTTTCTACTTCCATTAGTAGGATCTTCAAATGTAAAGCCGGACGAAATGATCTGTTTTATATTCTCATTTTATACAATTAACTCGACGTATTTTTGTTCTTAAAATACAAATTAAACCCGCGAATTTAGATCACAGTCTAAGCACAAAACTATGGTTAAGATGCGATTTTTGTTAAACGAGGGTAAAGTTTACGATGTGGATAAATATACGCTTTTACCTCGTGGAATTTGTGTACAGAGTTGTCAAATTGTCTACATTTTTTAAATGCAATGTACTCAATAAATCTTGTAAGTAAGTTTGTACATGGCAATTATTATGTTAGTGTGTATAATCAATGGTAACATTTGAAGACATTAGGGCATTATACATGAAATTAAATGTTTAGAATATTTTGACGAAACATTTATTTGGTTGATACACCGATACACGCTCTGCTCTGCTCTGTATAATATGCCATTACTGAGACACACTATTTTGGAGGGGATCGCTTTGACTTTTAACCAGTTCCTAACCTAAAAAATAAGAGTATAAAAATAAACCATAAACATGTTTATATTAGTGGAAATGAAAAATGTTACTCGCATCACACCCGATTTATTTAATATTAAGCTAAATGACGCAATTGCCTCAGAATTAAATAAGAAATTGGCCAATAAGGTGAAAATATTTTTACAAGAGTATCACTGTTGTACCCTTTCAAATTGTAGGTGGTTTTAAACGTTGGATTGTGTATCGCATTGTACGATATAACGAGTTTACAAGAATCATTTATATTTCCGGGAGACGGCTCGTCTCATACGAGAGTGTCGTTTCGATACATCGTTTTCCGCCCATTCGCAGAAGAAATCCTTTTAGGCAAAATTAGGTCTTCCAGTGCGGAAGGTGTACACGTTTCACTAGGTTTCTTCGACGATATTATTATTCCACCGACTTATTTGCAACATCCGTCGCGGTTCGACGAAACGGAACAAGCTTGGGTGTGGGAGTACGACACGGGAGATGGTAGTAAGCATGATCTCTTCATGGATACAGGGGAACCGATCAGGTTTAAAGTAACCGCGGAGGCGTTTCAGGAAACTTGTCCGTCCACTACTTTCGTGCCGACCGCACCCGATGCGATCGAGAAATCCGAAAATAAAACACCGTACATAATTACGGTAAGTGAACGATTTTACGTAACATTTTCGATGATTTCCACAACGTTACAGGGAAGTATTAACGAACCCGGTTTGGGATTGTTAACGTGGTGGGATAATTAGAATTAATTTTTTAAGTTTTATATTTGTAAATAAATATATCTACAAAATACTTGTTTTATTGCGAAAACATTGATAATTACTTACAATGTTTATATATACATCACAAAGTATACTTAAAACAATTAAGGGATGTCGAGTTGACCAATTTAGACTTGACGTTGAACATAAAAAGGAACATTTACACGAAAATTAATCAGATTACATATTATTGCACATCCTATTAACAAACAACTGGACAATGGGGTGATTTATTCAACTACGAGGCATCTCGGTAGATGTTCTCTAAGATAATCGAATAATTCGCGAGATGCCCCTGGACAGTTTGTGAGTTCCAATTCACGCATATGTCTTAGCTGTATTAAACTCGAAAGACCACTCGATGTTAGCAATGGACATCCTGCAACATGTTTTCAAAACTACATCTGACCGTGGTAGAGACGCGCGGTTTACCTGCTAAAGAAAGTATCTGCAGATTTCTCATGCCACATAAGTGCTGAAGACCGAAATCTCTTATTTGTGAGCACCAACGCAGGTATAAAGCCGATAAAGATAGCATGGTGGAAATGTAACCGATCCCAATATCGGTTATATGCACGCATCTAAAAAAATCATTCGGCTACTAAAGCCATTTCGATAAACAATCTCGTACCTGTCCAAAGTAAGCTCTTCTAATTGATTGAGATCACATGCGATATACTCCAAGGCAGCATCGGTGATACGTGGGCACCATGATAAATCGAGCGAACGAAGCTTCTGCAAATTTTCTGCTATCATTTCTACTCCCTCGTCTGTTATTTTACTGCATCCCGACAGGCTTAATGCGGATAAATTTGGTAAAGAATGTACTGAAATTTTCTTCAGCTTAATTTTGTGATAAAGTAATAATGTACGATCATAATTATACCTATATTTACTACACCTTGATTGGTAATTTCCCAACATGAATGTAACCGAAGAACGTTTAGTGTGTTACTTTGTTTCGGTGAAAAATAACTGAGAGCCGCATCTGTTACGTGGTACGCTTGTAATGAGAATTCGTACAAGCCGGGAAGCAATTGTGCGACAGCACCGACAGCCTCATCGGCCACGTTTATACAGTCGGTTAGTGTAAGCGAAACAATGCGAGGGTTTAGGCAGGCCCAAAGACCCGCCTCTGTTATTTCGTTACAACCGGCCAGCTCTAATTCGTAAAGTGCCTGAAACAGAGGGCGTAAGGCAGGATGAGATCAGTCGGAGAGAGGTATAAGACAAACCTGAAGATGATCAAGTAAACTCTCTACACCTCTGTCCGTAACGCTCGAGCAGCGTAGGCTTAAAGAATGCACGTGCTTGGAGGCAAGAGGAAATGAATTGACAAGGTCGAGAGCGTCTTCGTCGGACGCTCCCATCAAACAAAGTGTATGAAATCCTCGTCGCAAGAGCGACGCGTATAAACGACCTCGGTCCGTTCCTTGAGTGCTTCTAAGTTCGCGACATTGCAAGACTGGTATTAAACCAGTCCAATAGCGAGGCGATCTATAGAGAATGTCTCTCCACCTCGTGCAAACCTGCGCCAAAACGCATCGCTCGCATGGATTAAAGTAAAGGAAAAACTTCATTAAAAATCGTTCGTCGAACATTAACTGTTCCCATGTCAGGTACATTTGAGATAAACGTGTTCGACGAGCGACGACGATGACGGGGTTGTGTGTTGCTTTAGATCCACGGGATGGTAATAATCTCGAGGGTTTTTCGGGAGCAGCGACGTTGGAATTACTACTACCGCAAAATACATTCGTGACACGTTCCATTACACTAGTCTTAGTGTGATGTTTACTTCCTCTCAACCCCAGGCCATTGATTCGCTTCGAAAGCTCCGCGGAGGCGCGCTCGACGACCCCCTGAGCAGATATTGACGACATTGTGTCGTCGAAACCGACACGTATCACGTTGGCATTACCTACTCCGACACTCGTCGTGACGACGACCGCCGCGCTACTGCGTCCACGTCCAGTCAATAGCTCCCTTTTCAAAAGATCAATAATCTCAACTTCATCCCCGCGCTATCCATATGTACAGTTTTCATTGAGGTTCCATATACGAACTTTAAGGCACATATTTCCATCTTGGGTCGTTTTTCCATAGTATCCCCGCGTCGGTCGAAAGTACTCTACTCCTTGATTCGCTATTTAAAGGCCTTTTTTGATGATCCAATCTTACAACGATTAGTAGATAGGTAATAATTAACAGATACCTATACATGATGAGATAGGTAATGAAAAGTTATTTGGTGGATATACCTAGGTAGGTACTTCTGAGTATTATGAACCGCGCTTAACATAAAGCCCGTCGATGGGGCAGATATACCCACTCGTGGGAAACGGATTAGCCGGTAAGAAAATCCGGCGAAATTCCAACGCAAGAGACAATAAACCCCTAAAGCGAATGTAAAAAAGCGGCAGAGCAGCTCGAAAGTGACCCTACGCATCAGTGGATTTGAACCATTTTCAATAGGCTTGTTATATATGGTATACCTATACGTAAACTAAACTGATGTGCAATGCAAAGAATCGGTCCAAGCGATTGACAGTTATCGTGTTCACGGACGGATAGACGGACACCATCGACTCCCCTATAAAGCTTAGCATCGCTTTGCTCTGCCGCTTAATAAATCTTTATAGCGACAGCATTGAATTTATAACTATCATTGTATGTGTAGATCTGTGCTATCATAAATTCAATGGCGACAGTACCAAATGCCCATATCGATGTAAAAAAAAAATCAACCGACACCCATACTATCGAGCATAATATGTCAGAAAAAAAATGTATCGTTATTAAAGTTCTTATAAACCCGTTTCACTATAAAGTTTCTGAAGATTCAATTCTGGCGCGAAACTACATATTATATTATTATATATATATTATATTAAAATTTCGATCTGCGCTGTAGGTATTTCGAATTTCCTGGATGGTATACATCATACATCCATATATACAAAGGAAGGGTACATCAGCTGCACATCCTTTACATACAAAGTCCCCTTTAAACATATTATATTACCAAAATTAAACTTTCTATAACATATGAATTGAAAATTACATGGGTCATTATTACTGCAGCGTTTCTAAATCACACATCGCTTGGAATTATTTTGTAGCTTTAGATTTTCAAGTGGCAAGATGACGTTACAGAACTAACAGGCAAAGCCCAATAAAAGTTCTACATACATGATGCAAATCTACAGTTAACAGAAAAAAAAATAAGATTCACCTACCTACGCTAACTTACTGAATTATAATATTATGTTCACAATTTGTAAATGTTATTTAAATGCTTCGCGGTTTAAACCTTATATGCTAAATGGTCTGGTTTCTGAAGCGCTGCAATCACAATGCTTCCACTTCTCAGCATCTCTTCATCCATTTCGCAAGACCATAATACCGCCGCTTCATCTTTCAGAAATCTTGCACGTTTATCATTATTGTAAAATGCAGTACTTAGCTACTTCTCTGTGACTAAAATTTTTGAAAAGAATGCCGCTTTATCCCACTCGTCTTGTTTCTTTGCAAGCCAACTCCTGGGTGGTTATGTAGCTGCAAGAATATTAAAAGGTAGGACAAGAGCGAGAAATTCAATATTAACGCTAATGTTGGTTGGAACGTTTCTATTTCTGGACAGTATGGAACCAACCTTACCTACATTTCTGGAAATTCTTAAACTCCTAGGTATAGTACAAGATTCTGATCTCAATGAAAGTTGGTATTCGAGGGTAATGGTTTACAAACTACGGAACAATAATGATAATAGATACGTACATAAAACTTTATTTCTTACATTTAACACATTTCGTATATAAACACTTCTCACTAGGTTTATGATTAGGCGTGTAAGGTCCCATACTCTCATTGGCATAAAAATCCATTGGATAACTTTGTTTATTCCATTGAACACTTTGCAATACAACAGCTACTTCATACGGAGTCAATAACGGTTTGGTGAAAGCTTGACCCCAATCGATGGACAAACGAGGGCATGCCGTCTGAACGAAGCTTCCCACATATTTAAACAGGTCCAATTTTGCGGGAAATATTTCAGACAAAAGTATGACGACAACGTTCTTATAATGTTCTTTTAAGCGCTTTTCAAGATGAAGAGCTACGTTTAGGTTGCCTTGGCGACCAAGTGTACCCAATATGACCCCAAAACTGCTACTGTGTTTGGCATCGTGTATAGCATTTTGACGCATTGTGTGCATATCCTCGTGGTTGTAGTACTCCCTCGTAAATTTTTTACTGTATGGATCATATCTATATGCATCGAGCTTGGGATTGGCAATCATGGCTGCTTCCAAGTGAAACCGACCATCACCTAAGTAAACTAAACTATCTGCGCACTGCACCGACGGTGCCGTACATCCCAGTAATTCTCCAGGAGAGAGTGGCTTAAACTGCGGAAGTTGCACACTATATCCTCCTTCCAGTAAATGGGCGGCGGCTGCTTGCAAGGTCGCTACAAATTGTATTGTGCTAACGAAGCACAATTTTGTCTTCTTTGAAAAATTTAATTTTAAAGTGTCGACAAAATGCAAAATGTCAATTTTTATATCCACAAACACATATAGGACTTTCAACGGTCCTTTTGGGTCTATGGGAATGAGACAGCTATGACCGTAATGTACCAGCAAATCCACACCCAGCGCTTTAGCAGTAAGGTCATCAATACAACACGCACCGTACGTTACGTCACCCATAATGACAGTATCCGCATCTGAAAACTCGCGAATTATATCGGAGATTGTTGTCGCAAATATTAAGAGGCCTTCGGGCATTTGCAACGCAACTGTCTTTGCTTCCACTTGGTGTATACGCCATATCGTTTTCGGTATTTCAAAATTGTAATTCGGAGGCAGACGCTGAATTGCCAGCTGCAATTTATTATTTTGCAATAAAGACTCCGGAATTTTACTACATTTTTTCGTCGTAAACACATTACGAGACGGTCTTGCTTTCACTATTACAGAAGATTCCTCCTCCATTTTTGTAATTCGTTAATTGGTTGGAAAATAAAATTTTAGACCATGTTGTTTTTGATCTCCCAATGGAAGTGGTCTCCTGCAGCATGCTCCCGTGTGATGTGTCACAGAATACACCCTACGAGCTTGCTTTGGGAAGTAACTACCTTACAGCCGTTCATAAATTACAAGTCATATAAGATTGAGAATCCGCTACATTAAAAACCTACTTTTGCCGGTGTCTGTGTATATGCCATAGTAATCTATAACGTCGAAGTCCCTAAAGTGTTCAAAGTCGGATTTTCTTATTATCTGAACTTTGCTTGATCGGCGGTTAGACATTATACGACTTTCATTTACACTTATATGGCCGTATGCACCGTAAAAATTTACATAAGATGAGGTTAGCTTAAAATCATCGGCAACCATTGTCGCAATATACGTTACCATGGATAAGCATTAAATGGCTACACTTAAACTAGGCTCGCAAACTTTTTCGGTGCATACGGTCATTAATAAAATAAATAATTGGGAATTTAGCTTAGAGTCTAAAAATTTGAAAACAAATTCAATTCCGTTTATGCCATTTGACCAAGGACGTATTTTTAACGTCCTTGCATTTGACGCACTCTTCCGAAGTAGATGCGTTGAACGCAATCTCCTAGTTTGTCGGTTTCGTATCCGATCCAATTTCAACTCTACATAGAACGTTTATGTCGCGAATTTCAACCGGATTTGCTAGAACCGAATACGTTCATTTGGCGTAAACGTAGTCACTTTCTTACAGCATATGCCTCATCAGTCTCTGTAGCCGCTCCACGATACACCACAACATAACCTCGTTTGTTGTTTGTATCTTTAGAAAGTCGGGAGATAACAAAAACTTTAATTTGGTAGGTAATTTGTTGTATTTACATAAGTTGGTCTCTTATATCGCGGTGAATTGTAGAATCATCTGAAAAATGGTTTTGTGATACGATTTAACTAAAAAAAAACAGGGCAGTAATAAATTATAGATTCTCAAGCAAAAGGCGGGAAAAAGTGAACAAGCTCCTCCATGTCTCAAAAAAGTATTACGTGAGTTAATTCAATGCATTAATGTCGTTTACTACCTTCAATTCAATTTTCAAGTTCTTTCTTTGCTCCAACCCAAAAGAATTCGGATAAAAGTGGTACAAAACCACAAAACAACGAAGGCGGGTATGTAATTTTGTAAGTCTAGACGAAATGTCTCCCTTTTATAAGCTCATAAACCGTACGACCATTTTCACACCAAATAAAAATTTTCAACATGCACTTTTAAATTTTTATGTGTCGCGGAATAGAAACAATGAGAGCTCATCATCCGAGTCGAACAAAAGTCCTCACGGATCAGACACTTCGAAAGAAAACAATCGCAGTTTACGAACTAATGCATCTCGTAGATCTGGTTTGATTAATCGAACAATTTGAACCGTATTGCAAATGTGTAATGTTTATAGCAAAACTGGTGCTCACCGGCAGCAGAGGTTTAAAGCCGGAAATTGCCAAAATTATGCAAGAGAGGCGTGAAAAGCAGTCTTTGTCATCTGACAGTGACGATAGTGACGAAATTAATTTGAAAAAAACAAAAAAGAAGAGGAGGCTGGATTCGAGTTCAGACGAGGACAATAAACAGAAGAAGGCGCAATTGGTACAATGTTCTGAACAGGAATCAAAAATTGTAACTGAAGGTGTGTAAGTTAATGTGTCGGGTTTATAAATTGTGCAAAGACGAATGAAACTTTCAAACAACTAATTTCAAATTCGATATTTCTACACTTTATTTGACTTAACACTACCATATGTAGAATGTAATTTCGTATGTCTATGTATCACTCTTATGTTTGCTAAGCTTACATAATTACATTTCCTTATTTTACTCGCTACCCTACACCAGTTAGTTTGGTTCGCTGTACTATTTCAAGCAATTAATTGGGTAGTAAAGCTCATTTTTGTAAATTAAAATCTCCTTTCAGTTGCTGCAAAAGTAAACGATTGGGCCTACAATCCTACAATAACGAATTATCATCCGCTGGATAATGCCGTTTGGAAACAGTTCGAGAGCGTACCTTACATGGCTCTTGCACGTACTCTTAGTGAAATTGAAAATATATCGGCTCGTTTGAAAACGATCGAGATTTTAAGTAACTTTTTTCGCTCTGTAATTGTACTAAGTCCACTTGATCTATTGCCGTCGATCTATCTATGCCTGAACAAACTGGCCCCCGCTTACGAAGGTTTAGAGTTGGGGATAGCAGAGACCAATTTGATGAAAGCGATCGCTCAATCCACTGGACGTACCATCGCTCAAATTAAGACGGATGCCAAAGCCGCCGGTGATTTGGGCATTGTTGCGGAGCAATCACGTAGCAATCAAAAGATGATATTCCAACCGTCGCGGTTAACCATCAAGGGCGTCTTTGATAAACTGAAGGAGATCGCAAAGATGACGGGGCACGCGTCGCAGACAAAGAAAGTAGAAAAAATCCAAAGTATGTTTGTGGCATGTCGAAATTGCGAGGCTAGATTTTTGATTCGTTCCCTGGCCGGAAAGCTCAGAGTCGGTTTGGCCGAGCAGTCCGTGCTACAAGCTTTGGCACTGGCCTGCGCCAAGACTCCTCCAGGTCAGTCGTATCCGCCCGAACAATTAAATATGGCAAAAACCATGTCCGCGGATTCATTTAAGGGAGAATACGAAACGCAGGCTTTAATTTTGAAAACCACGTACTGCGAATGTCCCAATTACGACTTGATCGTACCCGTAATTTTGAGGGAGGGTATTCGAAAGTTACCCGACCATTGCAAGTTGACACCCGGCATACCTCTAAAGCCCATGTTGGCACATCCGACTAAAGGTGTACACGAAGTTTTACAAAGATTCGAAGGGTTGAAATTCACGTGCGAATGGAAGTACGACGGAGAGCGTGCACAAATTCATATCGATCAAGATGGTTCAATTAGTATTTATAGTCGTAATCAGGAAAACAACACTTCCAAGTATCCCGATGTTATAAATCGTTTAGATGCGTGTAAAGGCGATAAAGTTCGGTCGTGCATACTCGATTGTGAGGCGGTAGCGTGGGATAAGGAAAATCGGCATATTTTGCCATTCCAAATACTCAGCACTAGAAAGCGTAAGGACGCCAACGAGGATGAGATTAAAGTTCAAGTTTGCGTATTTATGTTCGATCTGTTATACATCAACGGAGAGCCTCTGGTGAAAAGACCATTTAAGGAACGCAGGGAGTTGCTTAGGGAGAATTTTAAGGAGGTCGATGGCCAGTGGCTTTTCGCCACGTTTTTGGACACGACTGTAATGGAAGAAGTTCAGGATTTCCTCGAGGAAAGTGTGAAGGGTAAGTGCGAGGGTTTAATGGTTAAAACTCTCGAGGAAGATGCGACTTACGAAATTGCAAAGAGGTCTCGTAACTGGTTAAAGCTTAAGAAAGACTACTTGGAAGGCGTCGGGGATACTCTGGACGTTGTCGTATTGGGCGGTTACTTGGGCCGTGGGAAACGAACCGGCACTTACGGCGGTTTTCTGCTCGGTTGCTACGATCGAGAGAATGAAGAATACCAGAGCATCTGTAAGGTATTTTATTTAGATCTCTTTTTTGTATCGTTATTTTATTATATTTTAATGTTACGTTCATAACTGTACTGTGTTAACACATTGCTTAACAAGATTTCTCGCGCGAGTCGCTGTCTGATAGCACTGTCTAGGTGTATGTCCTATTTACGGTGGTATGTACAACTCGACGGTGTAAACAGTAATAATGCCCTTCAACCATACAGTACACGGACCGCTATTAGCCCTACGTTTTCACTACCAAATCGGTTGTCACAGATAGGGTTGGTATGCGAATCGCAGAGTAAACTAATTGAATTAATTAACGTTTCAAATTCTATCCAATCGGACAACCTGGTCGGGACAAACTCGTTTTACCCTGAAATCCACATACCCAGGCGATGTCCTTGCGATTAGCACTCCATGTACTGTAAGGCCTAAGATAATTTCTTATTAAATTGCTTGATAAAAAAATGTACCATCAACAGTAACCGCCATCTTAAATTTCCTTTCGAGGCCATTTTTGATTTTGCCCTATCGAAGTGAAAAATTTTCATATTTGATTTTTATTCGTATTATAGTTAGCACTACATTTTCAGATCGGTACTGGATTTAGTGATGAGGCATTACAAGCGCATACAACATTTTTCGAAAATCACATTTTAAGCCATCCAAAATCATACTATCGGTACGATGCTTCGCACGAACCCGATCACTGGTTTGATGCCGTTCAGGTGTGGGAAATTAAGTGCGCGGACTTGTCGCTGTCGCCAGTACATCGTGCCGCACTTGGAATTGTAAGTAGAATAACAATAATTTCGTTTCGTTGCAACAAAGTTTTGAAGGTGGACCCCGAAAAAGGAATATCGCTTCGTTTTCCACGATTTGTACGAATTCGCGAGGACAAGGGTGTTGAAGATGCGACTTCCGCCAAACAAGTTGCCGATATGTATGTCAATCAAGATCAAATTAAAGATCAACAGAAGCATAAGATCGCAGAGGAGGACTTTTATTAGTTAATTTGTAGATATTTATCGATATTATTGGAAGTTGTACCTATTTTGTTAGAAAAACATTATTAATTCCATTTTAATCTAGATCGGTATAAAATTTGTGCCGTGCTGAAGAAAATAGTCAAATCGCGTCAATAACTTCTAAAATAAGTTTTCGATACGAGTCCCTCCGAATTTCTCACCATCAAGTCACAACCACAGGATTCTCTTTTATCAGCGTCTTGTGAATCCAAAACTTCGCGACCAATACCTCGTTGGCCTTATGTTTGCGGATATGTCTGACCAAAATGTCGCCGCAAGACAAAATTGCACCATGTCTTCGACTGGACATAACTTTGTCATCGTGTTCAAGACCGACTGTGAAGTGCCCTGCAGATGCAAAAATATTCTCGAGTTATGCACATCGAACGACAAACAATTTTGTTTCATAACTTTTTGTGCCTACCAATTAATGGGACACCCTTATATTAAAGAATGCAGAAAAATAACATCCGAAACACATTTATTATGAGATAATAATAAAAAAATTTGTACCCAAGCGATATACAATGGTCAGTTTACAATACAATGCCTTGTAGTCTACCAAAAATGACCTTATCATAATGGCTACCGTCCCAATAAATCTTTCCACATTGTTCACAAATATAAAATATATCCATCTTGCCCAGCAGTGAAGTCGGTACCTCCTCCACTTGTATCTTTGCACCTTGCTTAGTCAAACACAGTCCAACGTCTACGTGTTCATCGGAATCTGGAAGATTTCGCAGTAGTAACTTACATTCTAAACATTAACGTACATAAATCCCACTTTCTAGTTTGTGTCGTCAGAGGTGAACCACATTCCTCGTAAAACTCATCTTCGCTTGAAAAGCCCGTTGCTTCATCCTCTAAATTGTGTTCGTAGTAAGGAGGCATGCAGATCTTAAGGTTTTTCGATGATGAAATCAAGGCACCCATCGTAGACTTGGAAACCTTCACGAAGCTATTACTGTTGCACACCTAGAAACATTCCATTCCGTACACCATCGATAAAATAACAGTCTCAAACCTGACATCTACTAAAGACGTCCTTTTTTGTGACGACTATGTGATAATAATCCAAAACTTGCTTAAGCTGTTCGTTAAGATCATCGGAAATTATGCGCAAGCAATATCCGGCAGGTACCGAACCTAGTAACTAAAATCGGAAACGGTGTTCAACCTGTAATTATTGTAATGCCTTACTTTTTCAAAAGCGGTTCCTCTCGTTAGTACATAACGATGCTCGTCATTAGCTAAACGGACACATTCGGTGTGATCATCAGTATTGGACGGAATAGCCGTATCGATACCGCATTTTCTTAATAATTTTCCCAAACCTTGCAGCATAGTATCACAAACAAACTTAACGGAATCGGCCATCACAGGATCCCGCTGTTCTCTCGGCGGCTGTGGCAATTCGACCTTTTGCTCTCTCTTTCTCTCCTGAAAAACCAAATGAATGCCCTTTGTACATTTTTAAGAAACAAGATTACAGTTTTGATTGACGGTTTTTTCGTTTTTCGTTTGGGATGGCGCGCCGACATGAGTTGGTGGCATATATCGTTAAACGACAATCGTTGTTCTTCGCAACACAACTTCAGCATATCGTAGACCTCGATAAGGCAGTAGGCGTCTAATGCGGCGTACAATAATTGGGAATTACGTAGCGGTCGATTTTCCCAATTTGAAAATTGGTCAGATTTATCCAACGGTTTGCCGCAGCACAGGTGTACCAATACATTAAGGCTCAGACCGCCCGACGCGATGCCTAAATATGGAGCGGTATGACATAACGAACCCCATTACTACGACCATTTCACTTCAAGTGCAGTGTCAATCACACGACCGCAGCACGGGGCCGGCGGCGGCTCTAACCACTACAGTCACGTGATATGGCACTGCGTTTTTACCTGCATAGGGAAGCGTAATTTTGTTAGATTTATCCAAGTGCTTCCACAGAGATAGGAGATCTAAAAAACCCAATTCGTGGATGAATCCGAGATGTGGCAGCGCTCTTTTGATCATGCATATGTCGGCAGAAAAATTAAAACCTACAAAACGTCGTTATAAAATTAACTCAAACAGATATCCTCGGACACCTAATTTCATAATATCACAGTTACTGAACAACACCTCATTTAGTTTCTTCCAAAGGTGGGGAAAAGAATTTCCGATTTTAATGACATCAAGAAGAAAAACGGAGTGGCGTGTCGCTATTTGTAGCAAAGATAATTCGCTACTATTAACACCGAAGCTAGGTTTCCATTCGCAATCTAAACCAACTACGCTTGTATCCTAGAAAAATTATATGAATTACGCAGGCTAGTAATGGATAAAAGTTAGCGGAAAGCTTATTTCTTTCCGGATAAATAAATAAATTATACAATTTTTAAGTTTACGATAGGGCGTGACCTCAATTATTGAAAAGTTAAACTATACTCCAAGCAAAGCTAAGTTTCAATATCAATTATCATCTTGATTTTGTATTTAAAAATTATTACGAGCAATTACGGTTACTACCAATGGGAAAAAATTTTGGGTAACCCATATCCTATTTACCTCCCTCTACAATCCTAATTTGGGTGATAAAGATAACTTTACCTGCAAACCACTATAGATAAAACACTCAAAGGAGCTAATATTGTCAACAAGATGAACACTCGTTAGGGGCAGCTTAAATTCGTGATATTTTGTCGGTTCCTTTGCACCGTCGTCCCAACTCTCGTCAATAATATTGGCATTTTGCAACTGTTGTTGATGTCTAAAAAATATGGATTATTCGTGCTGTACATGCAGAACCGGTCAGAACTAGAGATGAAAAGGTATCCGGCCGGATTTCCAAACAATTTTTTTATCAACTGCGGGCACTATTCGTGAGGAAAATAATACAAAATTGAACAATAAAATAACGAATATTTAAAATTAATTAGTGATAAATTGTGCGGCGAATAAAGACGAATGCCGGTAACAAGAAATGTTCGTATACGAGACCAGCCTCTGAAAAATTCCTCCATCATATAGGCAGTAGGTACTTGTGTAGCATTAAACTCATCAAACCACAGGACGAATATCCGGTCAAACACTATCGTTTTCATCTCCAGTCAAAAGCAGGAGGAAAAAAAGGAGAGAATTTCAATGCACTATAAATGTTCGCACCTGTCCTCATCCGGATTGTCACTGTAGAGACGAACCATGTGCGGCCAATACGAGCGATCGATATTATAAAAATGGGCCCAGCGTAATGCCTCAGCGGTATCACCATAGGACGCCACCAAGCCAACCAATTCCTGCTGTAGGCTTTCGTCGTCCTTTACCGCTTCTCGAACCATCTCCTTCCAACTTTCGTCACCTTTAAAATGACATTACAATATGTTGTTAATTGTGATTTTTTACTAATACAACATCAGTTCAACATCGGTGCGATATCTGTTGACAGGGCGATGCTACAAAAAGTTTTGTATAAAATTGCTTGCAGGTCAACTGTGCAAACGCAAGAATATTCTTGTATATACAGGATCACATTGTTATTTTAAATGGAAACTATATTTGATTACAACGATGGACTGTGCTAAAAACTTTGCCTATTAAAACTCGCCGTTTGCAGGTGTCAATAAAAACAAACATATTTCGTTAACTTAAAATGTTATATATAGGTATATATACTGAATATTCTTACAGGGTATTTACAATACAGAAACAGCATCCCCTTTGACGAGATGTTGCTTGATATCGCACCAATCGCATACCCTGTATAATTGATAAGACACTCACCAAAACCATTTTCAATGTAGCGCTTATGAAGTAAAAACTGTAAGGCGCCTTCATTCCGTTTTTTGTTAAGATTCGGCGTCACCTCTGAAGAAATATTGTACATTTTCACAAATCGTGCGATGAGTTTTCGCCACGGCTTGTTATGCAACTTATTCCACTTAACCTCGGGTATTTGCAATCTCCTAAAAACCGTCTATAAGTTTTTTTTAGTAACGATATATACAAAGTATACAGAATCAGCGCTTCTAAAATCGAACGGATCGCCACAGCTTGCCCTAACAAAGAGTCTAAAAACACCACCAGATCGATCCGATGTTTAACACTTTCATTTAAAAACTCGTCCACGCATAACAACTTATCTTGTAAAAGTAGAGGAAGAAGAAATTCCTCGATACCGAACCGTTCTTGCAAACCCAACAACAAAGCACACTGACTCGCCTACGGAAAAGTAACTTAGTGAAGCAAACCAAAGAGAATTGTACTCTTACTTCTTTGTACTGCTTTTCGGAAATCATACGGTAGATACACTCTAAGAAAATATCACAGTCGTTAACCATCTCATAAATAGACGTGACCAGCTTCATTAAAATAAAGGAACGTTGCCGTCTAACAACGTTAAATGCGGAAATTTTAATATCGATGGACAACAAATAGCCGACATCTCGCTTAGTACGAGCTTTCCAATCACCAAATTGTTCCATTATCAAATGGGCGAGCGTCTTAGGTTTGGCATCTTTAAAATCTAAACAATTATAACATAAACGAAGTGCTTGTTCAAAGGGATTATCACATTCGTCGAAATGCTGATGCAACATATTTACGACGGCAGGACTCTTCTTTACTGAAATCGAACCAGCTAAGTCATTAAGCTTAAGAATGTCGAACGATTTACACATATTCCAATAATTTTTGAAGTGTAAGTACCACGCTCGAGTAACTTCGTCCAGATCCAAGTTCACACATACGATATCCGCCGTTTTTGCAGGTCCGAAATTGGTCCTAACGCCATCCAAACTACCAAACGAACCTTTAGAATCATTCCTGGATAATTGCGCGCTTCTAACTTGGCATAAGCCGCGACCCCGACCCGTCATGCTGCAATTATTGGACAGTTCACTTCACTTTGCAAAAATAAGAACATCCAAAATAAAGTTGACCTAACCTCTTTTTTTTTTGGTAAACTTCTGAAAGCAATTCGAATGATAGCCGATGGGCGCAGTAAATTTCGAATAATTTGTTGTTCTATATACAGCATAAAATAATTTCTGTTTTTATTTTACTATTAATTTATTTAAAGAAAATCTACCGTGCACTAAATTTTGAGTTTGACCTTTGACCTTTGACAGTCTGAACCATAGAGTATACAACATAGCAGCCGTATGTATTAAGCTGGAAACACACGTGACACGATCGAACTTCACGACAAAGAAGTACGCGCGTACATCTTCGTCAAACATCAACGCGTGCGCGTTGCACCGAAAAACGCTTCGAACATGTTGGTGGATTCATTTAGTCCGTGTGATACGCTGCACCATAGACTAAACCTGAAAAAAATTGAGCACCGTTATGCGAGCGGTAGAGCAGTTCAAGTGTTGCCCAAGTTTGTCGTTGACGTTTGACGAACATGTACGCGCGTACATCATACATGTACCTATGTCGTGATCACGAACCTATAAATTAAGATGGACTGCCAATGCTGAATTAACAAATCACACCTACATGGGGGCCGCCATGATGTGCACTCACTTGGCGAACGTGTATTCAACTTGGGACACGCTTTCTTTTTAAAATTGAAATTCGGATATCGGAGGCAATAGAATCGAGGATTTATTGTAATAAAAGGGTGAGCGCTAGGTAACCGCCCCGAAATATAAAAGAATCGTAGGGCGGAACACGAACGCCACGTTCAAGACGCACCTACGGACCCCTCGGGTCAGCCGAGATTCGAAACGATTAGGCCGCCAGGGCCCTAAACGTTTTCGGGCACTTATTCTTAAATAACTCGGGAACCCGATAACGGATCGTGGTCGTTCGGCCGCCGTTCGATAGGCGAATAACGGGGCCGCACGGCGCAGTTTACTGTTTTTCAATCGGTCCATAAATAACGACGGAATTACATTTCAAAGTCGATCAAAAGTGTAAAAAAAACACCCAAATTTGTCCGGGGTGCGTTAGGTTAACACTTAGCGAGTTAATAGATTATCAATTTTAGGGTGGAATACGAAAGTCACATTCGGGGCGCGTCTACGGACCCTTTGGGTCATTCGAGATTCGAAACGGTTAGGCGGCCAGGGTCCGAAACGTCACCGGGCACCCATTCCCGAATAACTTCGGAACCCGATAACGGATCGGGCCCAATCCGTCACCGTTCGATTGGGGAATCACGGGGCCACACGGCGCAGCTTAAGGTTTTACAATCGGTCCATAGATAACGTCGGAATTACAGTTCAAAAACGAGCAACTTTTGTCAAAAATTTTGACAATTTTTTTCTCGAAGGCCCTTCGGGCCGGAGAGGAACGGATCGCATATTTATGACGTCCGTGGCAAGGGTAACGATCGATAAAATTTTGAAAAAAATCGAAGACCTAAAATTTTTTCCAGTCTCGTCAAAGGGGGGACCAAGGGAAAACGAAAAAAAAAACTTTTTTATTTGCGAACCGATTTTCGATTACCAAACGTCGATCGATAGATCTCGTCGAAAGAGTCCCCGAAGACGCTTAAAACATTCAGGGTCATATATAAATAAGAATTTTACGGCTTGGGTTAGGATCTCCAAAAAAAAAAAAAATAATTTTTTTTTCGTAAACGGCGCGTCCTATCGAAAAAACGGTTAGGAGTGAGCACATCTAGTGCGTTCCTACCCAGCAAGAAGACCTGGCCAGGGAGTGGTTTTAGTGGGTAGGCCGACCTTCGGGGAAGAGATTCTCACACTACCTTGCGCCGATAGAACCTAAGGCGCTTGGTGTCTATTAAAGATTTCCACTTCTGCATAAAAAAAAGGTTAGGTTAGGTTAGGTTGATACCCGGCCGGGCTACTATGTGTTTAGAGAGAGGACAGGGTTTTAGTGGGTAAACCTTACCTAGATGGAAGGGAGTCCCACACACTCCCCGCTATAGAGCCAAGCGGGGAAGCCTATAAAAGGTTTCCCAAACCTCGATAAAAAAAAAAAAGGGAACAGACACTGAGGGGGAGTGGAAGACCCAGGGGAAGAGAAGGCCGCGAAGAAAGGTGGAATCGGGGAGTGGTAGCGAAGGAACGACCGGCACGGGAGCGAGGCGCAGGAACAGAAGGGCGGAGGCGGTGCTTGTCAAGCTAAAAGGGGAAAATCATATGGAAGACATTTTGAAGAGAATTAGACAGACGGATATGTCCGGAGTGTCGACAAAGATAGAGAGTATATCGCGGACGAGGAGTGGGGACATTCTACTCAGGGTTGAGAAGGGAGCGGGGAAAGCCGAGCCGGTTCTTTCTAAGATCAAGGCCGCAATTAGCGATCGGGAGGTAACCCTGCTGGAGGACAACTGCACGCTTGTGGTTAGGGACCTCGACGCCGTCACAACGGAGAATGAGGTATTGGGTGCCATCATCCAAACGGTGTCAGGAGCAAGATGCAGGATTAAGAGCATGATTACGGTTGAGAGAGGACAGAAGGTGGCGTACGTCCACGCCAACCGTGAAGCGGCGGAGGAAATACTAGCACGGGGGTACCTGCTCGTGGGGCTAACCTCATGTAGGGTGAGGATTAGCCAGGACCTAGTGCGGTGCAACCGATGCTGGGAGGTTGGGCACATCGCGGACGCGTGCAGGGGGGAGGACCGCAGGGCGCAATGCTATAATTGCGGGAACGCCGGACTATGCGCGGGAGTGCAGTAACGAAGCAACGTGCAAAAAATGCGAGGGACTGGCGAAGGGCCTGGGGGTCGGGCACAGGGCCTACACAAGGCAGTGCATGTATGAGACAAGGAAATCGGAAATGGCGGAGACGATGGCCAGCGGATCACAGGGTGGCGATACCTCGGCACGACAGGGCGTGGCTATCGGGCAAGAGGATGAGAACCAGGACCGGGACACGGAGACCAGATCTGACAATGGGGATTAAGGTCATCCAAATTAACCTCAACAGGAGAAGGGTGGCCCTGGACCTGGCAGTACGGGTGGCAGACGAGAGGGGTGGTGACGTGCTGGTGCTATCAGAGGTGGGGAGAGACACGTACGGACATGATATTTTTAAGGACAATAGTGGGCTGGTGGGAATCATGATCAGGTTAGGTAGGAAAGCCGCGAAGCAAAGCTAATTATCTTGGCTGAACCAAACAAGAAGCACCGAGGGAGACATGTTTACGCGAGCAAAGAAAGGAACGCGTCTATTGTGAACGTGAAGGGCGGAAGTGTTGTCTGGAACTTCACCAGCGGACATAACCACGCGATGGTACAAGTCGGACAGACCACGGTCGTAAGCGCGTACATAAGTCCCAACTCCACTATGGAGGAATTTGAGGATACTCTGGACGAGATAGCGAGAAATATACGCAAGAAGACAGAAGTCATCATAGGGGGTGACTTCAATGCAAAAAATCCAATGTGGGGAGGACAAACAAACGACGAAAGAGGAGTGAAGCTGGCGGAGTGGGCACACCAACTGGGCATGACGATCATGAACGACGGGAAACGCCCCACGTGTATTAGGCACAACGGCTGCTCCTACATAGACTTAACAATAGCAACGGCAGGCGTCGCAAAGAAGCTTAGCGAATGGGAGGTGACCGAAGAGGAAACTCTGAGCGATCACGAGTTGATCTACTACAAGATAGAAAACACGGAGGTAGAAACCAAAAGAGGCTGGGAAATGAACATCGCACTAGACCGCGTTAAAATCGGGAACGCGATGGAGACGCGCTGGCACCAGGAGGGGAGACCTAGCGAACCGGAAGAAATAACTAAAATCTTGGCAACGGTACAGAAGAAAGCGATCCGGAAGCAGAGGGACGAAATCGGAATGGGTAGGCCATACTGGTGGACGGAAAGGGTTGAGGAAACAAAATCCGAGGCAAACAGGAAGAGAAGGAAGCTGCTGAGAAGCAGAAAAAGTGGACAGAGTCAACCTGAACTGGAGTCCATCTACAGAGAGGCACGGAGGAAACTAAGGGCGGAGATAGCGCAGGAGAAAAGAGCGAAGTGGAGAGACCTGTGTAGTGAACTAAGCAATGACCCATTCGGGCAAGCATACAGGATAGTCGCACGGGCCCTTAAGATGCCGGACCCCAGGGTCGAGCTCACGGCCGACCAGAAACAGGGCGAATTTGAGAGGCTCTTCGTCCACGAAGGGACTGAAGGAGAGGAGCAGGAGGACGAGAACATCTCGGATGCCAGAGAACTGAGCACGGAGGAGTATAGGCGAGCCATAAGTAGAATCAAGACGAACAAGGCCCCGGGACCTGATGGGTTACTGCCGGAGGTAGTCAAAACAGCAATGAAAGAGAAACCCCACATATTTATGAGGATGTACATCGAATTACTAAAAAGAAACAGATTCCCTGAGTGCTGGAAGACGGCGAAACTAGTGTTGATTCCAAAACCCCGGAAGACCACGGACATCGAGATAAAATATCGCCCTATATGCCTGCTCGATATAATGGGGAAGGTGTACGAAACGATATTGAGGAATAGACTGGTCGACAATATAAAAAACAAAGGCGGTCTAAGCGAAAACCAACACGGTTTCCGAGCAGGAAGGTCAACTATGACAGCCATCAGGGACCTTATCGAGGAGGCCAGGAAAACGGGGAAAAATAAATCCAAATATGGAGCAGTAGTACTGATTGACGTACAAAACGCCTTCAATACGGCACCATGGGGAAAGATCATCGAAAGCCTAGCTAGCTGGAAGATAGACAAGTACCTACAAAATGTCGTTGAAGTGAAGACTATCTAAGAGAAAGGGCGATACTGATAACGAAGGGGCTAAGAAGGGCGGTATATGCAGGGGTACCACAGGGATCGGTGCTCGGGCCGGACCTGTGGAACCTGCTATACGATGGCTTGATGAAGGTAATGCTGCCCAGAGGGGTTAAACTAATCTGTTACGCCGACGACGTCGCGATATGGGCAGCGGCGGAGAACGTGACAAGCCTCAACACCAAAATCGGAGTAACGCTGAATGCGGTGGATGACTGGATAAGGAAGAGTGGCCTAAAATTAGCGCCAGAAAAAACGGAGGCGGCAGTCCTAAACAGACATTTACCTCTAAAAGGGGTACAAATTGCGCATGAGACGATTAGTATACCGATAAAGACGGAAATCAAATATCTAGGTATGATAATTGATAAGGGGTTGCTAATGGGA